CACCCTTTCTCTCCGACAATGTATTTCTTGGAAGCATATGTGGGTGTGAACCAGACCTTTTCTTATTTGATGATATAGCCATGATTAAGCACTGTGACATTTGAGTAACTCTGTGTGCTCACTGTCTTGCTTCATTCAAACCTCCGTTGCAGCTCCTCTGTGCAAGTGTTTTGTCTTTCTACTCTGGGCCTTCAGATGCTTTCAGGAGAGAATTTTTGGCATTTTGCATGTTCGTAACTGTTCAAGTCTTCCAGCTAATGAAGAAGAGTGAGAGATCTTTACTGCTAGCCCAGATGTTCAAAATCATGAATCAGCCCCCCAAATTCTTGAGTCTGAGCTACTGAATCAGACATTGTTTTTGTAGACACGATAATTTATAGTATGAAGAAGTAGCTACATTTCCACAGACCCGTACAGTTTAGAACCTCTTTGGAAGGCTCTTGGAAAGGGTGGCTTTGGATATTCAACCAAGTGCTGTGTGTGAATTTGCTGTCTTGTCTTAATGGCAACTTGCATAAGGGAAGGGTGCAAACCCACTGTCAAACAAATGCAAGGCTACTTTATCTGAAGTATTGACTGGAGTAGACTAGCCGCTGCCATTGGGGGCCCTTGGCTGCTTGGGACTAGAGAGCTCTGTGTTCCTGTTTGGTGCCCACCTCTGACAGTTGCACACAGTCATGCTCCTTTGTGCTGTTTTGGTTCTGCTTATAGCATTCGTGTCCTGCCATTTGCCCGGATTGCCTCAAGATGGCCAACAATTTAAAACATTTAAAATTCAAGTAAATACACTTGACAAATGTGAAAGAGCAAATATGAACAGGAGATAAAATAGAAGTACCAGATAGAAAGAAAACCTCTAATAAATGAAACAAGTAAAATGCAGTAGAAATAGCTTAGCTATCACGAAAGGCCATTAAAAGTGCTAGCCTGTGCTGAGAGACCAGACCCTGCCTGTGCGTAAATGTTAGGGATGAATGAAGCAGGCAGCTTCCTGTCCTCCACTACCATTCCTCACTACGTTTCTTTTGACTCACTTGCTTTCAAGCTGAGGGCATAAGCACTCAAGGTGAGGTCTTTCAACTACATTTAATATAGTGATGTTCACTTTTTATTTTTACATATTCATTATGTTTGCAACTTGTTTTTCCTCCAAGAAGTAGAAGGCGAAATAAATGGTTTTCTCAGAATAAATAAAATTCTCTACTGCCCATTTGGGAGATGGGGCAGGCACATTAGTAGGCGGGGGCACTTTCTGAATCAAATAAATGTGACAGTGGGGGCTCATCTTGTTTGCCACCCTGATGATAACTATTAATTAAAAATATTTGTCATACATTGGACCAAAAAAGTGAGTCATGTCACATTTAATTGGTGCATTTTGGAGAGCTTGGAAAAAGTTACTGTCTTAATTTTGCGGAGGCTCAGTTGGGCCAAGGTAACGATTATGTGTCTTTGTTGAGGCTTGATGTTGTCCATGGCTGTATTTGGAGGGGATGTTACAGGGTGGCTTTCTGATTTCAAAGCCACTGCTGTCCCATTTAAAATTGCTGAACGTGGTGGGAGCGTCAACCATCATTAGGGTATAGAAGAGTTAATTGCATGAAGATTTCTAACAAAAGTTATTTGGATGCATTGCAAATGCCACGAGAACATAGATGTGGGTGATACTGAACATGAACATAGGTACATATAATCCACAGTACATTAACTGATCTCCAGAGGTGCTAGAAAACACTTTGTTCTGTAATGAAGGCAGATATACTTCTGGAATTCGTCTTCAGAATCTTGTTCTCCAGTTACACTTGTGAACTGGTGGTTGCTTGCTTTCTGCTTAATGCATTCAGGAAAGCTTCTGTGCTATTACTTTATAAATAGACTGTACTCGAAAATAATCTTATTGATAATCAGCTTTGCCTGCGTTCTGGAACAATCACTATGTTCTTTGCAGAATGAGAAACTTTAGCATAATTGTCACTGAAATCAGGCCTGTCAAATAGTACTTTTCATGACTTCCAAAATCGCTTGTCTGGCAGGGCTGCAGCTGATTCTGACTTCAACACTAGTGATGGGATAGCATCCTTGAACTGCACCTGGGTACTGCAGTCCAGCTTAGGTGCACAGGGCAAGCAGCATGACACACAGAGCTCTGTCAGTGCTGCATCTCTCAGCATTTGCTGCCTAAGACAGCTGCCTCACTTTGCCTAATGATAGTGCTGGCCTTGATTTTGCTGCCTCATACTAATCTCATGCCAGCACTTATAGAATGCATTGCTCTGTCTCTTGTTCCAGTCTTCTGTTTCAGTCAGGTGATCTTCCATCGGTGCACCCCTGACCCATCAAGGTTTGTTTACTATATTCATGGCCTGTGTAATTAAATATGGAAGATTTTGTTACAGATGCCTGACTGGTAGGAGCAAAGCTTCCCAGACCTAAGGAAAAAAAACTGCCTAAGGAGTAACCAAAAGAGTGTTTTTACTTCAGATAAGGCAGAAAGTTTTTGAACCAGGCTCCTCTATTTGCATGTACACATATTTATTCCAAAAGAGACCTGCTTAGTTGAATTTTTCCTAAGTTATTTCCGCTTCAGTTTTCTCAGCTAGGAATGTATTATTATTTATTATTTTATTTTCATGTCTCTACTGCCCAGTAGCTGAAGCTCTTCACACTTGTATGAGAATTACATTTCAGAGATGAAAACGCAACAAATGTTTCTGGTTTGGCCCTGGTTGAATTTCTTGCCACTGGTATCAACTTGAGCTGTAGCTCATTAATCCAATATGTAGGTTCCATTTTTAAAAAACTGAAGGCAATTTGCTGGTTCCTCTCTCTCTCTTCGTGGCTCTCGCAGTGTGTGCAAATGGGGGTCATACCTCCCTGCAGTCTTTCAGAAGAGTGCAGATTCATCTGTCTGGCATGCTCGTGTAGTCCTGCTAATTTTCCAGTATGTTTCAGCTCTCTGTAGGATGATGGAGTAGATGAACTACAGGGAAATTGACAAGGTGAGACTGCCTACCCAGAAATTTGCCCGTACATGTGAAAGACTGGGGGAAGATTAATAGTAAGAGCAGAGAGAAAACTTATTTGCATAATTCAGAAGCACTGCAGAAGAAAAAAAATGAAAACAAGCTAGCTGAATCTAAGTAGTGCTTATGGGCAATGTGATCCTCTTGCCGTTAAATGTCAAGGGGATGCCTTTCAATATCCTCCTGCCTTTCAGTGCTCCTCCAAGCCTCCAGGAAGTCCGGAGCATCCACCTCCCAACCTGCCTTGCAGCACTGCATCCTGGCTAAATGAGGTTAGGTGGGCTGGGTAGTGGCAATCCAGAGGGCAAGAAGTGGGGAACTTGGAGGATCCTGACCTGGAAGTTATGGCAAAGTCTACCCTGAAGGAGGGAAGAAAAGTGCATTGGTAATGTGTGGGTGAAAGGGCTTGCACTTCCAAGGTTGAAGCGTATGCAGGATAAATGTGACAGATCTGGCCCATGATCTTGTGCTAATATTTATTGTGATGTATGTTTAGTATGTACGCAGTATGTTAGGCAGTTCTAATGTATAATGAAGGTGTAGTGATCCTGTTTATGCCATAATGGGGCTATTGCTGCAAAGCTGTTGTGCAAATGTGAAAGACGTTCATGCAACAGAGGTTGAAAACAGGTTCTCCCCTTCTATAAAATGAGTGTGTGAGAAGGGGTGTAGATTCCACTTTAAGGCGAGAAAACACCCAATTACCCACAACATTTCCTAGTGATCATCATTCATACCCTTTGCCATTTCTAAGATTTTCAAATGTTGGAAGTTGTCCTGTGCTCTTTTGCATTCTAAAGTCAGGCCTAAGTTTCAGCAGACATTTACCATCTATATTCATCACTTTAGCTTGCGCTTTCCCACCTTCCCCCAGTTCTAGTTCAACCATGATAGCCGGAAGTGTCCTATCAGTCCCTTAATGACATGGGAACAACTGGGATCAGGTTGCTGCAAGGGTCAAATTAGAGAATAAGTCAGGTGTAGGGGTATTTCCCTTAAAGAGATGCATACATCCTTGCTTACTGAGCTCTAACTAGAATGGTTGTTAAAGAACAAAGAGTTAAAATGCATTTCTTAAACTGAAGAAACTTTGCCAGAGAATCTAACATGAGCTAGAAAGGTGGTCACAACAGAAACAGGATACGTGATGGTAAATTTTTGTGGTTAATTCGGTTGCCTGATACAGTTTGGTGAGACGTAAAACTTTTGTTAAAACAGGGTGTGAAAATAGATTCTTAATCACTTAGTGCAAAGGTGGGAAGTGAGTGAACATGTTTTCCGGATGGCTTTTGACAAAAAGAAATTGTAATTTCAACTCACAACATTTAAGGCCATAGTTGACATCTTATCTTGACTTTTCCAGACATTCACAGCAGAAAGTAGTTCTTTTGTTTAGCCACTGTGTAGCAGACAGAACACTGGGGTAGATAAACCTTTGGGTCTTATCCAACATGGCTCTTCTTACATCCTTACACTTGAAAAGCATGTGCATGTGGTACCCTTGCTTTGCAAAATTTTGTGCATTTGTGTGTGTGTCTGTGACTAAGGAGAACTCAGCACAACTTCGTGGGAAATCCAATCAGGTGTGTGTCTACATGAAAGGGTTTCAGTGTGTCAGGTAGTACCAAGCTGTAGTCACTGATAACCGCAACACAGACTAGGACTGTTCTAATCTGTGCCAATCCCCTTTGGTCCAAATGGCAAATGGGAGAAATATGAGGGTTGGCTTTCATACTACAGTCAAAAAGTGCAATAGTTACTGCTTAAGAGAACCAAAACTAATTGGTACCTCATGTCTTGACTAAAACACTAAACCAAGCAGGGAGTAAAATTTGCCATGTGGACATCAGTATTTTTGTCACATACATCTCCGAAAGAAATGCAAGAAACTTTGCCTTCATGAATAAGTGAGTATATGGTATGCTTTTGGCTGTTGTGGTAACATGTCTTTTCCCTTCTCCTTTGGTTCATTTTTAGCTCTCCTTCAGCGAGTTGCAGAACTGGAAAAAGTCAATGCTGAATTTCTGCGCACGAAGCAGCATCTTGAGCAGGAATTCAATCAAAAGAGAGCAAAATTTAAAGAGTTGTATTTGGCTAAAGAGGGTAATACTTACATCTTCTGGCTTACTGTAAGAATGTTCTTAACGTCATCTTCAAAGCATTGGGCTGGATAATAAGCTGTTTTCACCCAGTGGGAGTGAGAAATCACTCTGGAGGCTTCCTCACCCGGTGAGCTCAGTGCTCCAGTGGCCCGAGTGCCCGTCCTGTGGCATGACCAAGTGCCAGAGGCAAAAGCGAGTTTCTCCCCGAAAGCAGGACGGTCCAGCGTGCCATCAGCAGGTTTGCAGCAGGCTTTAATGCACACTTGGGTGGCCTGTCGTTGCCTGCCAGCCCCCAGACATTTCAGATACGTGGAAAGGGCAGCAAGGATCCTGAGACAGCCCCTTCCCCCTTGGGGTCCCACGGGACCATGGACGGCCCTCACCCCAATTTGCAAGTGGACCCTGCGGGGCTGCAGGCACTGCTTTAAGACCTGTGGAGGTGCCACATGCAGGCTGCCTGGTGCTGCGGCCACTTGGTGGCGGGAAACTGGGTAAGGTGACCGGCACTTCGTACGGCCGCCTCTGGAGGAGGTTGAGCAGAGCACGTCCTTCCATCCAGCGCTGCCACTGCTGAGCCACCAAGGCTCTGGGCTGTACAGGGAGAGTGCCGTTGCTGCCAGTCCTGGGGGGGGGGGGGGGGTCCATTCGACCCACTCTTCTCTGCCGGGCTCAGCTGCAGTGCAGGACAGGACAGGGAGCTGAGCTGTGCTCGGGTCGGCCCACTCTGCAGGAGGCTGAGCCTCCAGCGGTTCTGGCTGGCAGCCGTGGCAGTCCAGTGAGCCTCTGGCACTCGGGCACTTCTGGGTGTCTGTCATTGGCTCTCCCCCACAACCCCTTGGCCAGCGTGCCAGGTCTTTTTTGCCTCTGTAGCAGTTTGGCCCCTTCTAGGCTTGTCACGTTGTCCAGATGACACTTTAAACTTAGGGGTGGCTTATAAATCCTATTTCAATCCATGGCTTTGTGGGATGGCTGATAAATCCAGATGCTGGTCTTATAGTGCCCCCCCCCCCCCCAGTGGGAAGCACAACTGGATCTGGACAACACAGGAACACAGCTTGAATGTCAAAATGGGGCATATGCTGTTTATATTCAAGCCTTCTCATTTTCTGATGTGTTTAGGCCACGTAATACCTATAGATTATGTTGGACTATCCTGTTACATGTATATCTATAATTAGGTCAGCCTGTCTCTGCATACATTAAGAATGCAATAACTTGAGGAAACGATGTGCCACTTGATCAACCACAGAAATCCTTTGACTGTTAAGGAATGTCTGCCTTGCTTTTGTGTTGATCCCATTATCACAGTGCCCTGGGGTGGGGGAGGGGGCAAAGAATGCCCTTGCTGTAGTAGAAAGAAAACTGGTTTCTAAAAGAGCTGAGACCAGATTCAGAGTTAGATTTTACTGATGAAAGTGTCAGTCCAAGTCATGCTGAATATGATGTTCATCAGTCGAGAGCAGTGAATTGGACAGCAGCACTGAGATGGGGCTGAACTGAGTCATGCTTTTAAATAGGGTCCAGAACAGATTACAGATGCTAATACGTAAAACAGCTTGGGCTCCTAGTAGGTGCTCTTGAGCAAGTCTAAACCAGTACATAACAAGGATAATCATTCTGACAGTTGGTATGCCTGAGGCTTTCCCCTTATCAATTACTTTGCCTTTCCTTTTCCCAGAAAGACTGGAAATTCAGGAAAGCCTTTCTGTGGTCAGTTTCTTTAGGAAAAGGAATCTATTTGTATGTCAAGAAGTTTGTATGGCAACGATGTAATGGAAATGTTCTCATATTGGCAAGCTTTTTTTAAAAGCGTGACAGCAAAAATGACTTTTGAAGCATAGCGGAGATATAAGCTGAATATCCCCATTTCCGCCACAGTGGTGACCAGAGTGAGATCTTAGTGATGCTCTGGGTTAGAGAAGACCGCAGAGACCTTCTTTCACGCTGTGACCAGAGTATATTGTGCTTTTAAATGGAACTGATCTATTTCAGAGGATCTGAAGAAACAAAATGCAGTCCTGCAGGCAGCACAGGATGATTTGGAGCAACTGCGAACGCAGCTCACGGAGGCTCAGGCTGAGATGGAGAACATTAAGGCCATTGCTACAGTCTCTGAAAATACAAAGCAGGAAGCGATTGATGAGGTGAAGAGGCAATGGCAGGAAGAGGTTGCCTCGCTGCAGGCTATAATGAAAGGTAGGGCTCATGGAAGTGGATGAGTTGCCGCCGAGAAGTTTCAGGTTTAGTGATGCAGCTGGTTGTAAGGGGTTTGCTCTCCAAATACTGCTTGGTAATACAGAAACCTCATGCATCAGAGTGTGTGTGAAGTAAAGCTGGAATGTTGCACATGTCATCTGAGGTCGTTCTCTTGTGGTTTTCCTGAATTACACTTTTTAACATTTTATTTTGCAATTTTAACCAGCTGTTCTTAAGTTAGTTCGAACTGGCGTATGGTAATCAACAGAACAGATCTCAACACAATCATATCTAAACAGCATTGCTAATATTCAGAAAAGCAACAAGCGTGAAACCCCAAGCAAAATTAACAGAACTAAGAAGCAGTCAGCAGGAACAAAAGAAATACAGCCCAGGAAAACAAGAACAGGATTTTCTTGACCTCTTGTCCCCTTGCCTCAGTCTTTCTACAGGGAAAACTAGCTGTCATGGAGAAGGCTAGGTTGGAACACTTCTACCTGGCATGCTAGGTTTCTAGGAACAACAGAGGAGGGGTGTGTGTGTGTGTGTAAGTGTAACTCATGTAACTTGCCACCTGCAGCTAGAAGTGTCACAGCTTTGAAGCAAGTCGATCTTGAAGTGAGAATAGAGCATTTGGAAGAAAAATCATACTGATACCACATATATTATCGTGAAATACTTGTTTGCAAAGTAGAGAGTCCACTGCTTTGAAATAAAGCACACAGTTTGCATGCATAGGGCCCTAGGTCCTGGCCCTGGCATCTCTCTGCAGCTCGCAGGCTGAGGAAGATACTTTTCTCACCTGAGACCTGGGGAGCTGCTGCAACATTATTGAGCTCAATTGAGCTGCCACTTGATTCCATCAGATGCACCTTCTTCCACTGATTTCGGCAGTGCATCATATAATTGTCCTTAAGGTTCTTCTTCTGGCAGACCTCTCATAAGCTTATCACATGAAAAAGATACGGAGTGGCTTAAAGGAGTGATTAACAATGTACTGTCACCATTGTTCTCGTGAAACAGAAACTGTCCGCGACTGTGAACTCCAGATTCATCACCGGCTGGAGCAAGAGCGAGCTCAGTGGAACCAGTACCGGGAGAATGTGGAGCGGGAAATAGCAGAGCTGCGGAGGAGGCTTTCAGAAGGCCAGGAAGAGGAAAATTTGGAAGATGAAATGAAGAAGGTAGCTGAAGCATATGTAAAATTCCCTTCGCATAAGCCTCTCTGAAAGGCAGGCCAGGCCACTGTTGCTGAACTGGCCCCCGCACCCGTTTCGCTCCGATACTGTGGTGTCTGGTTGGGAAGCCAGAGGACTTCCATGGCCCACCCCAAAAGGCGTCCCTTGTTGCCTGTCTGGATCAGAGGTGGCCCTACTGCGAGGCACCATGATTCAATAGTATTGGATGTTTATCTGACTGCATTAGCTGGTAAGGCATTTTGGGTGCCATTAGAAGCAGGAGAAGGGCCAGTTAAGTTGAAGCAGGATCCCCCAGGGAATTGCCTTGCCCAAGCACCATCAAAACGAATCCAGTTTGGATGTAGCTTCTTTATCTTTCAGTGAGGCTCATCTTGGAGAAACTTCCTGTGCTAATACAGATTTCCCCAAAGTGGTACTTCCCAGGTGTGTTAGATTACAGCTCTCATCAACCTCACTCTGCAAGACTGATTGGAGCTGAGGCCCAAAACTTCTGGAGGGCCCCGGGATGAGGAGGGTGATGCCAAAATATCTCTCGCTGGTCCTGCATATATGGTCATGCATATATTTCAACTTATGTGAAATTTTATGTAAGCCCCCAATGCAGAGGTAGTCCAATTGCACATCTGCATTATCATGCAAATCATCATCATCATCATCATATTTGGGAACTGGTGCTTGTTCAGTACTTATCTGCTCTACTTAAACCACCTTTCTAGTTTTGCCCACAAAATGCATGTGTAGGGAAACACGTTCAACATTTGGCTTGCGTTAAGAGGCTTGGTGCCCACTCTGGTCTCTGCACTAAAAATGATGGCATTGATTGAAGCTTTTAGGGAGCTGGAAACCATTTCCCAGAATACATCATCTACTTAAAAGGCAATAAAATCCCAAGTTCACTTAGCAAATTGTGTGTTTTTCTGGAAGGGTTTGCAGCCATGCAGTTCTGGCTACCGTGTGCAGTCATGTTCCTGTCACGTCATAAATATTGGTAGATATTGGCAGAATCATTTGTTTGCCTTTTGGCTGCATAAAACCAGTGGGTGAGCAAGAATACATTTCTAAGGATAGTATGCCATTTTAGTTCATACAGAGTAGGACAAGATGTGAATCAGTCCCTACAGCTACCTGGAGTTGTATTCATTTCAGTGGGTCTACTCTACATAGGACTACCACTGTATATTAGCCTAGGTGTTTCCTCTTGCTCATGTGACCTGTTTGCAAAGAGCATGTCATAATGCTGAGCTCTTCTTCTCTGTGGAGACAGCCAGCATCCCCAGCATCCCACTTTGGATATGAGCAGGATGGCCCACCCTGCTGGGTTCTATGGTGTATTTGATCTCCACCGATGCCTCCTTGAGAAGCAGGTTAAAAGTCAGAACAGTCGCTCTGTTGTGCCGGGGTCGAGGTTGCTGCCGGGGCCTTGCGTGCTGGGAGTAGGGCTCATCTGGACAGCGCCTCGTTAGGAAACTCTCTGGAAACCCTGGGCATGCTGCCTGTGAAGGAAGGAAGGTGACCTGGAGCGGAATATTTCCAGTCAGGGTTTCTTCTGCCTCAGACCGTTTTCTTATGGAAACACCCATGAAAGTGTTTGCTGGAATAAATTTGTCAAGATTTCAAGATGCTACAAGAAGTTAGGAAGGCCTAGGAAAATGAATTCAGTACAAGCAATTAAGTGCTCCAATCCAGCAATGTCTATGCTGAAAGTATTGTCAAAATATGACACTTCACTGACTTTGCTGTTTGTGCTGCTATAAACTAACATAGCTACCTTCCAGAAACCAGAGAGAGACAATATGGTCTAGTGGTGAGGGTGCTGTGCTGGGACTTCAGAGATTTGGGCTCTAGTGCCCACTTGGCCATGAAGCCCACTGGGTGACTTTGAGCCAGTCCCTGACTCTTGGCCTAACCTGTCTCACAGGGTTGTGAGCACAAATGGAGAGGAGGACCATATAAACTGCCTTGGCTTCCTTGTAGGAAAAATGGCAGGATATAAATATGAGAGAGACGGCTTCCAGTGTTGTCCATCCAGCATGTAGAACTGGTGTAGTTCAGCTTTTTTCCCACCTAACTGTGCATAGGACGATGCCTTTAGTGAACTGCTGACTTTACTAAGCTCCAGGTGAATCAGCAAGAGCTATCAACTCGTGGATCACAACTCTGTGTGTGTGTGCTTTGAAGTAATTCCCACTGCAATGTTTGTTGGGCTGAGAAAGGCCAGTTGGAAGCCTTGCACCTTCATCAGTCACTGAAGAAAATAGGTGCAAACACACCAGTGCTGCCTTTCACTGTGGACATTGCTGGATTGGAGAACTTCAGGGCTTTCGTGAACGATTGGCCTTCTGTCTCCTCAGCCATTTATATTCCTTCCCAAAATGTGTAAGCTGCTTTACACCCTTTCAAAAACCCAAGTCTGCTTCCGGGTTGAGGGTGGGCTTGTCCCGGGTTGTCCCCAGAACAGCTCCAGTGATTTCTCCTGACCACCTTCAATTTTATGAAAGTGTAAAAGCAGTTGTTGCCTGTGGTGTCCATACTTCTTCCCAGCTGCATTCTCATCTCCTGTCAAACATGTTCGTAGGTTTTTGAAACCATGCAAATACGCTGGACTGAGTCACTAGTGGGATGAGTTTCCTGCTTCAGTTTTCAAGAATTAAGAGATTACCTTCATTAGTTGTCAGTTTTATAGCACTTCTGGTGCATGCAAAGCAATCTACAATTTCTGGCTGTTGTCAAACAGGACTTTGACTTGGCCAGTGCAATGCAGCAGGTGAAAGACAGGTCAGTCAATTGTTTCAACCAGGATTTTAGGTGCCGCTTCTTAGGGAGCCTTCTTCCAATACTAGGCCACAGCATCTGGTGTTCAAACCCTGTGATACTTACTAAAGTTTCTCTTGAAGATCCACAGTAAAGGCAGGCAAGCTTCTTTGGAAAATGGCTTGCTTGCCACTTCAGTCTTCTCCTGGCAGGGACTGCTGGGTGCACTCAAGGTAGACCCCTGGAGTAACAGTGGGACCCTACAGGCCTGACCAGCACTCTGCTTGAACCCAGCGCCCCCTCTAAAACGCTTCCCAGGGGCCTCTGCAACATAATGACATCTCAAGGCAAGGCACACTGATACTGAAGGACTAGAATAGGGTTCACAGGCTGTGGATCTCTGTGCAAGGTCGTTTCTTCCAGGAAGCATGTCCTGTCCCTCTGTCAAGCAGCTCACTGGGCACGAGCCAGAAATGCAAGGGAATGGGAAAGAGGTGTGTCGCAGAAGGCAGGAGGGAGTGGCAGAGAAGAGTGGCGTGGGGTGGCTCTGGTCCCTTTGGGCTGTGGCCACACCTCCTACAGGCACACAGTCCCAACTTGTTGCCCCTCCAGAAGGTGTCTTTCGGGAGAAAGGGGGCTAGAAAGTGGTCCATCTATGTCAAAAGTCATACTTGGGATATGTGAAGTGCCCAGCACATACTTTTAAGCATCTGAAAAAGATTGTCTAAAATGTTGAGCCCGGGTTCCTGTTAATTTTCAAACAATAATACATAAATGGATCAGTTAATTATACCTTCTTAATGTTGACTTCAGGCCCAGGAAGATGCAGAGAAGCTCCGTTCAGTTGTTATGCCCATGGAGAAGGAGATTGCAACTTTAAAAGAGAAACTGACAGAAGCGGAAGAAAAGATAAAGGAGTTGGAGGCTTCAAAGGTGGGTGAGGCAGTCCAAGAGGATGAGCATCCCAATTGCATCTGGACCATCTGTTTCCACAGAGGAGACTCATACTGTGCTTCTCAGTTGCTTTAGAATATGGACTCACTTGAGAACGTAATCTTGCAAGCCCTGGTATTTCCTGTGCAGGAAGCAGATTGCTGAGCTGCTTCCCAATCTAATCAGTCATATGTGGAAACAGCTGAGAAGTGAAGTTCATACCTCCCTTAGAAGCTGTTTACCTTCTGATCACTTTAGATTAAGTCAGATCCTTTTCTGTTGTGAAACTTGTTGGAGGGCCTTGTGTGCATCACCTCCCGGTCTCTCTTTCCGAGTCCAAACTGTATCTCACAGTAGTCTGAAGCCATATCTTGAAAGATGCTCACAGAAAAGTGCGACAGAAGTGACCATCAGTTATTATGGCTGCCACCCAGTGAAACAGATCTTAGTGGATTGACAAAATACATGTTTTTTGTTGTCAGTCACAAACTTGCGTCCGCCCCATCGTGACCCCACGGACAACATTCCTCCAGGCCCCCCTGTCCTCCACCATCCCCCAGAGTCCACTTACGCTCACACCGACTGCTTCAGTGACCCCATCCAGCCACCTCATCCTCTGCCGCCCCCTCCTTCTTTTGCCCTCAATTGTTCCCAGCATCAGGCTCTTCTCCAGGGAGTCCTTCCTTCTCATTAGGTGGCCAAAGTATTTGAGCTTCATCTTCAGTATCTGGCCTTCCAAAGAGCAGTCAGGGTAGAGAAATACATGTTAGTTGATATTTAAAGTCAATCTTCATACACAGAGAGCCTTGGCTATTGGCTGTTCGTATTTAAATAAAATTAAATAAATAAATAAATGAGAAATGCAGGTTCTAAAGAGGAATGGATACTTTTGTTTTTTAATTTTGTACTGGTGTGTTGCAACAAGCTTCACTTGTTGAAGAGGCATCACCTTCTTTGGTGTTTGTCACTTGTAGTTTTCCGAAGTACCATTTCTTTTTGTAAAGCTGCTGCTTGGTTGATCTTATCCAACCTTATAAGTTTGATCAGTGTGTTTGACCTGATTGAGCTAACCAGTTGAATCAACTAAAGCTGGAGTCTTATGCATGTTTATACAAAAGAAAGGCCAGCATGCCCCAGCCAGCTATCCAAATGTGTGCTGAATTGTGCAATAAACATTTTAAAATGTGGCAGCCTCTTCGGTACAGTTCATGCATTTAGAAACATAGAAACAGAGTGAGTCAGAAGGGGCTTCCTGGGCCATCTAATCTGACCCCCGGCTCCAGCTGGCTCCGCTCATGACATGCCCACCATGTGCAGTCAAGCCTATCCTTCAACACCATCACTGATGGGGCCTCAGCCACCTCCCATGGAAGCCCATTCCACACCCTCGGGGTCCTAACTGTCAGGAAGTGCTTCCTGGCATCTAAATGGAACCTTGGTTCCCTGAGCTTTGCTCGGTTGGAGCGCGTCCTGCCTTCCTCTGCAGGGGAGAACAGGTCTCTGCCCACCTCCGTGTGACAACCCCTCACATACTTGTATGTCACCAACAGATCCCCTCTGAGTCTCCTCTTCTCCAGGCTGAAGAGACCCAGTTCCCTCAGTCTCGCCCCATACGGCATCCCCTGCAAACCGGCCACCAACCTTGTGGCCCTACACTGCACTGACTCTAACCTGGCTATATCCTTTCTGTAATGAGGGGCCCAAAACTGAGCACAATACTCCAGTTGTGGGTGCACCAGAGTCGTATAGAGTGGTAGTAATACCTCTCTCGATCTAGAAGCCACACTTCTGGCTGTGCAACCAAGGGTGGCGCTCGCCCTCTTGACCACCGCATCACACTGCTGACTCATGTTCAGCCTGCAGTCGACCAGCACCCTGAGGTCCCTTTCATAAGTGCTGCTCTCCAGCCACTTGTCCCCTAACCTCCCCTAATTTGTCGGTTTCCAGGGCAGTGCGTTTGCTGCACAGAAAATGCATGAGCTGGGCTAGCTTGGAAGTGATTACCTTGATTGAGGCTCACCAATAAAGCTTTATAATGTACTGTAGACTTGAATATGAGTGCATAAAACTCACATGTAACCGTCTGTCTGCTATACCACATAGAGCTGTTGTGTATTCAAGACACGCACTTTGGGGGAAGTTAATGTACCTGGAAAGCCTTTTCCTTCACTGCTTGTTGCTAACAAACATGCAGCATCAGCCTGGCTTCCTGTATGTTTAAAAAAAGAAACTCCCCTCACTGTTTCTCCGAAAAGTGAAGTCTCATAAGAATGTTTGTCTGTGATACCCTCTCTAATGGACATTTTATATCTCCTCTTTTTGGGCCTATCCAGTTATAGGATTTTTTCATGTCATCAGAGCTTTAGGATTTGCTGTTTGCTTTTAGCAGTGGATTGTAGAAAACCTCGTATAGCAGGCAGACCTCAAAAGATAAGCAGCGCGTCTTATCTGTTGAAGTGCAGGCTTGAGGCTTTAACTTTCCGCAGAACCTGGTGACAGAGGAGGAGCGTGCTGCATGCCATTTCTCCCCCGCCTCCGAGGCCTGTAGAATCAGCTGTCTTTTGAGCAGGAGGAAGGAAGTACCTCTTCACCCTTGCCAGTCTTCGAAAGGTGCTCTTGGGTGTTCTGTGAGCCTTTCAAGGCAAAGGGTGGGTTGGAAATGCTTACAATAAATTAAATGAAGGATAATAGAGATGCCAAGCAGAGTTGTGGAGAGAGCGGCAAGCTTTCCGTGCTGAAAAACCTGCAAGCCCAACTAAGGCCTTGCGTGAATCGTATCCATAGAGCTGCCTGCTTTGTAAGAGGTGGTGCGCACACACTTGGCTTCTTTTCTGCACAGAACTCCCCTCCCGGAAGGAGATGCTAATTTTCACTGATGTTTATGCGTTCCTGTAGGTGATGGGAGAACCTGACCCTGTCATGTCTGCATTGCATGCGGGAATTATTTTGCCTGGTACTGTACATGGCCCTCAGGCTGTTATACTGTATTGCCTTCGGGAGCCTTTTCATTTGTCTAGAAGCACTAACAGAATGCCAGGTGCTTGGCTTTTCCAGCATGAGATCAGGAGTGCTCTGGCAGATCCACAGTTAGTTCTGCTACTTTCCCCTGCCCCTGTCTCTTTCTTTTTCTCTGGTGGAGGCTGCTTACTAGGCTCAGTTTGGGGAAAAAAATCTATGCCAAACTGTGAACTTTACTGTTTACATTCTGAAGGGTTTTTGCAGATGCTCACAGAATAATAATCTCCCAGTATGTTCTGCCTCCTCTTGGGTGCATGCCTTAGCATGGTGAGGGGGCTTGAGAGTGTCAGAGAAGCTGAGAGCAATGCCAGCTGGGAGCAGACCCATGAGGCTGGCCTCCAGGCAGGTGGAATCGTTGACACAGAGACCCCAGACTCAGGCGCATCCCCCTTTGCAGGAATAACGGTCACATCAGCAGAAGAGAAGGGATATCTTGAATGGTGATGGGGCAGAGAAACTCCTGAAGGGCTGCTACCAGACAGCAGTGGTAGCAGAGGGCAAGGGTGAAAGACTTCTGAATATTGCTTACCTTGAAAACCCTGTAATGAAACCATCAAAAATAAACAAGAGATGGTGCTGGAAGATAAACAACAAAATAATAAAACAATAGAAACATAGAAACAGAGCGAGCCAGAAGGGGTCTCCCAGGCCATCTAGTCTGACCCCCGGCTCCAGCCGGCTCCACTCACAACATGCCCACCATGTGCATGTCCAGCCTATCCTTGAACACCCGCACCGATGGGGCCTCAGCCACCTCCCATGGAAGCCCATTCCACACCCTGGGGGTCCTGACTGTCAGGAAGTACAGGAAGAACAAGGGCAGCATGTTCAACGCTCTCTGTGTGTGGTTGTGAGACTGAGGATGTGAAGAGTGTTTTTCTAAGAAAACCTTCTGAGTCGTGGCCGAGGTTCTGCCTCACTTGTGCCAGCATGTATGCGCCATGCCTGGATACCATAAGTGACCTCAAGCTGGTTCACAACCAATAACATCTGATAAAACATTTTTTTTTCTTAGATCAGAGGGCTGAGAACATCAAAAACTCAAGGCTATTGTTCACAGTCTTTTAATGTTTAGGGTTAGGGTTAGCAAATAAAATACAGCCCCAACTGTGCACTTTTGAGGCTCTGAATGTATTGTACTTTTTTTAGTGGCAACTGAAAAGTGGTAAGTCTTTGATTTGCTGGATTGGAGAACTCGATGGCATTCTTGTTGCTTGGCCTTCTGCCTCCTCAGCCGTGATCAGTAGCTGTTGAATCTCCTCAAAATGGCAACTTCAGCAAAGAGGGCAGCAACTTGGGTCCAAGCCTTTCCCATCTACTTGGCCACCTGGCAGGCTGCTGAGAGGCTCCATTTTGTAATTCTGTGGGGTTCTCACCTAAAAATCAGAAGTTCTGCCCAAGAATCTGGAACAACTTTATTTTGCAGTCTGGAAGGGCAAGGTTTCTGAAGTTCACATGCTCTCGCTGCAGCTATTAGCAGTGCTCGTCATACCTGGGCCCAGTGCATAGCGCATGTTCTTTAGGTGGGAGAGCACAACATCCTGTAAGCAGACACCTGAAAGCAGGTGTCTCAAATGTCCATTTTCACAGCCACCAAATTGCTTTATTGTTTGAGGTAGCAACAGAAGCACAAAAGCTATAAAGCACCAATACCTGTGTTTTTATTTTGGGGCACCTGAAAATACCATGTGTGGATGTAGATTTTGAGCTGCCACTAAGTGCCTGGAATGTTGTAATAAAGGGAAGAATGATTCTGAAAGTTAAGTATTGGCACAGGAATATATTCGCACAGCTTGCTTGTGCTCTCCTTTCAAAGATACATTTTATATATCATGCAGTTCCAGTGGCTTGTTAACTTCAATGCAAAGTGGCCAATGAGGGTGTTCATAGATTTTTATTTTTGGTATGGTCGCTGTGAGCATTTATGGACAAACAATAGCAGTTTAGGGTTTATGGCATTCTTGTAAGTGAGCCCCTGAAAGTTACTAGCCTGTGGATTTTTCAGATAGCTTCCTGGGGGCAAGCCGGGCAGAGAGTTGCACTTGTGTGCTGAATAGGGAGGAAGGTCTTTTCTTGTGCAGCAGCCCTCTTGGTTGCTGTGCTGGAAGCAGAGGGGGCCGGGCTGCTGCAGCCATCTTGCACACCTGGTTGCTTGCCGACACACAATTCCTGGACAAGGATGGCTTGCTGGGCTGGGCCATAGCACAAGGCTGCAGGACATGGCAGGCTCAGCACTGCCAGTTCTGTCGAGGTTTATCTGTGCTGTACTATAGCAGCACAAATGCAATTGTGTGAGGCAGGGAGTTGCTCTGAGAAATGTGCTTGCACTCTTTAAGTGGATATAGGGTGCAGCATCTTTGCAGCGTAGCCACCACAACAAAATGTGTGCACTAACCAGAAGTTCTCTTGGCTTCTCTCTGTACTTTTCAGAGTAAAGAACTGAATCATTATTTGGAAGCTGAGAAATCCTGTAGAACAGATCTAGAAATGTATGTAGCTGTTCTGAACACTCAGAAGTCCGTCCTGCAAGAAGATGCAGAGAAATTGCGGAAGGAACTTCATGAAGGTATGGATTCTCCCCCTTCCCTCTTGTTTATAAATAAAGCTTAGGGACTAGCATCTCTTTAATTTGTCATTTGTCAATATCAAGACTTTGGGCTCAAAGGCCTGGCTGGTTGTTGCAAGCCCATTTTTCCTGTGCAAACTAGCATCTCACTGAAACTTTAGTAATGCAGTTCCCGTGTAGCCATGTCTGTACTCTCACATGACCCTTGCTAGCATTTGTGGCCACCTGAACAAACCTCGGGGCAGATTCTGAAGTGACTGCGTTGTGCAGTGGACAAGAACAGGCAAGGCTTGACACCTCTTATCCATCCCTCTCAGTCAAAACTCTTCTTCCCGGGCAGCTCATCTACTGCCTGAACAGCAAAATGTCATCTTCTCCAGCCTTCTGTTATGACACCTGAGTCCTTTCACCTTCACCCAAGTGCTTCCTGCTAAAATCCTGCACCTGTTGCTTTCAGATCATATGATGCCACTCTAGTCATAGGAAGACTGAACACTCCCTTATGCCTAGTTGCACCTTTCTAGCCCAGGTTTATTATTCTGAATAATTTTTAAGATCCCGCTCCTCGGCCAACAGTCTCCTGAAGCAGTTTGCATATCGACACGTACACCCCCTGCCTGCAATTGAACACTCTAAAAAAACAACACACCAGGAGGAGGATCAGGGTGGGAAGAGGGCTGGTGGAGTTGCCCCGTTCCCTCTCCCCACTCCTGCTCTACACCGGCTGCAATGACTGGTGACTGGTGCTGACGAGCAGCATCTCACCTAGTTTTTAGGTTTTCCCGCCTTACCTGAGAAGGGCAGGGATTGAAGCTGGGTCCTTCTGCATGGAAAGCACGTGGTTTGCTGTGGATCCATGCACCCTCCATAAACCTTTCACTAGCTTCTAGGCTGCTCCCAAACACAGGACTCCTCAGCTCCAGCTTATTGTTCCATTCTTTTGTCGTGACACTTGCCACCCACGTTCTTGGCCCCTAAAGGGGTTTCAAGGCCTCTGCCCTGTTTGGCCTGGAATGGGTCCTAGAGCAGCTGAACCCTGTTCTTGCAAATCCTCCTCAAAGCCGCCTCCTCTGGGAAGCCTACGGGGTGCTTCACCGGGTGATGAGCAGCCTCTCTTCTTCTTTCCCCTAATCTTGCCTCCATCGTCCTCCTCTCCCACTGTTGCAATGTCACCTGCAGACTCGGTGAGTGCCCCAGATATATCGGTGGTGTTATATAAATAAGGTGACTGTGTGAACCCTCTAATTCGTGAGTGGGAGTCCTTTTCCATCATGTATGGCATGCAGGTGCAACCATGCTTCTGGCTGTCAGCTTCAAGCATGCTGCCTGTCCTGGGGTCACTGGAAATGGGCCGCAGCGTGTTGAGAGCCCTACCATCCATGGCACGCATGAGGCATTGCTATTAATTTGGTGAGAAAAGCTTTGGCCGTAACAGTTGGAAACCCTCGTCTCTTTCTGCACAGTCTGCCACCTACTAGAACAGGAGCGGCAGCAGCACAACCAGCTGAAACACACGTGGCAAAAGGCCAACGACCAGTTCTTGGAGTCACAGCGTCTGCTGATGAGGGACATGCAATGGATGGAAATGGTGCTGACCTCAGAGCAGCTGCGGCAAGTTGAAGAACTGAAGAAGAAAGACCAGGTGAGTGGCTGTGTGCGGTATGCTGTGAGTGTGTGTGGGGGGCGGGTGTGGACAGCATGGGTGCGGGCATCACCCGCCATGTCGAGCTGTGTGGTGCATGCCACCCCTGTGAGGACCGCGTGTGCAGCCCAGAGCTAGGAGCTCGGCCAGTGCTGGGAGGAGAGGGTGCACCTTCTGTGAGGTGGGGTCTGTGATGTCAGTGACAGTGGCCTTTGGCCCACTCCTTGGGGGCACGTAGCTCAGCCCCAGCCCCAGCATTATGCACATGGGTGGAGGTGGGTTTTGCCTGGAGAGATTTGTAGGCATGTACCTGGGCAGCAGATCACGCTTATGTTCATTCTGGGGCGGAGGGGGGGGTTGCATAGTTGAGCACCCCTGCTTCAAATTCGGGCCCCATCTCTGCTTGTCACATGCTTGTAATCTGGGCAATGCGAGAATGTTCATTGGTGGATCAGCTCCACGTGTGGATGGTATCGATCCAGCTGGAGAGAAGGCGCTTGTGTAAGATCGGGATGCCGAGGCCAGCCTGCCTGCCTCGGTGCCACCCGCATGTGTTGTGGGACTGCAGCTGTCATAATTCCCAGCCACTGCAGCTACTCAGTTGCAGTCCAGTGTATTCGGAGGGCACCTGGTTGGGGCAGGCTGACCTCAGTGAGTGGGGAATTTTCTTGGGGATCTGGCCCAAATCCAGAATTTGTGACAAGCTTTGGAAAAAGCACGTTGCTGAGCCAGAAGCTGGTCCATTCTGATACCCAGCATATTCCTGCCTGCCTTGCAGTCACTTCCTTGCAGGCATCCTGTGTCCCTCCTACCTTCTGCCAAGCTTGATTTATAACAGAATGGAACACGCATAAATTCTGTCATTTACCACATGATCCTAGGAAGATGAAGAACAGCGACGACTTCACAAAAGCAAGGAAGACAAACAGAAAGGCCCCAATGAAGAACCAAAAGCAATGCGCTCCCATGCCCAGGATGACTGCCTTTCTCAGTTTCCTAGCGAAGAGGTAAAACCAGTTGCTTGAAGTGCAGTGTTGTTGCCTCGTGGAGTGCTGCTTTTCTGAAGGCTGACAAAATCACTGGGGGCTCCTTTAGTCACCAGATTTACTCTGATAATAAACTATTAAATGCCAAGAATCTGCTTGTCACCATATTAGGGACTCCCTTTAGATTAATTTTGCAAGGATTTTGACAGGTTTGAGTGTGAGGAGTTTGCATTTCTCCTCTTCATACATTTCAGGAGGAAGGAGTTAAAAGCTGGATTATTTGCGTTGTAGGAAGGTGCCACTGAAAATGAGGCCTTCATCCTCATGCAGTCAGGTCCAGAACCGTTTGCTGTGAGCTGTCACATGAGCCATCCAGCTCCTGCTGCTTACAGCACGCAGCCTGATAGGTAGTTTAAAAGATTGCTGTTGCTGGTATTCACTATTTATTTAAAGCAGTGTAATCCCACCATTAGGCTCCCAGATTAGTTATAATCTAAAAGACAGGATGTAACAAATAGGATTGGGTGGGACAAGGAAAAAAAACCAAAGTCGGGCACCTTGTACAATCAAGTACAAGCATTCTTGTGCTGAAACAAGTAACTCCAGTAAACAACTGTGGAAAAAGAACTTTGTGTGTCATCATTGTTCTAACTTAATTGCCTGAAACTTGCTTACTGTGCCAGCTTAATCTCCTCCTCCTCTTCCTCTGAGTTGCATCTATTTAAGTTCATCCAGTATTTATGTCTCTTCATTAAGAACTTGCTTGGGTGAATTTTGAGATTTTGTCTAGTCTATGCTTTCATCTGCATTTGCTATGCACCAGAAGATAATTGCTCTGGCTCTGAAAAGATCATTTAGCCGAGCTTGCCTGCCAGCTGGTTTTTCATAGGGTATCTCAGTAGGATTTTCTTTTCAGGGGTTATTTACTAATTGGCTTGCATCAGCCTAATTGCCTTCTCTGTGTCTTAGTGACATTCCAGTAAACCATGCAAGAGAATGGTGCCTGAAAGTGGACACCTAAACCCTTAAGACATTTTTCTCATGCTTCAGTTCATAGCGCATCCTTCAAAAGTGAAAGTAAAATAAGAAGATGAGGTTGTGCAGATGACTGTAAGCAGTTTAAAATAAGTAAGGTGTAAAGAAACCTGTTCATGTAAGGCACACTTTAAAGAGATGCTCCCTTAAGTCTTATGAGCTTGTTTGTGTGATCAAAGTTCTCTGCTCCCCTGATTGTCTTAATTGACTGTCCTGAACCCTGCAGAATAAGAAGTATTAATGGTACAGGTACTGGAAAAGAATTTTCAGCTCCACCCATCTTTGCAGGGTCCATGGGCTGAGACAGACTTTGGATCAGACTCATTCCCATATTTACAGAGAGTGCCTGGTTTGGCTAGAGGGTTGTGTGCTTGTGCAGGATGCTTACGGGATGGTGCTGGGTCTGAGCACCGGAAATGGCCAACAGGCTGGAGGAATTTGCAACAGCATCAGCAAGCCTGAGCGGGGCAGCATCCACCACTGAAGAGAGCGATGTACAACATCCGTACCTTCGCCAGAGCAGGGATGGGCAGAAGATGGCTTCGGATCTGCTGGTGGTTCTCTGGGTGATTCGTGGGGAATTAGCAAGGGCTTCCAACTCAGCAGCAAGCCTTTTTCTCCTCCTCTGATTGTGCTGTTGAAATCGAGAAAGCAGCGTAGGTGGAAACAGGACTGATGTGTATGTGAAAGCATATGTGGGGCACTTCTGCAGCTGCCCTCTTGCTGCTATCTTGTGGGGAACTTGAAAAGCTGGAGGGGATTACCCATGACGCATGCTGAAGATACGTCAAGGGCACCCACCCACCCTCCCTGGGGATCCTCCCCAGCTTTGCTACTCCCCAAGGCAACACTGAGGGGGCATTTTGGACTTGTGATCACTGCCCCCACTGCCCCCCACTGAGGGGGCGGTCTTGGAAACATCCCTTTTCACGGAGTTATTGGGTTTGGAGGAAAGCGGCTCTGTGCTCCTCCTGGTTTAGTCACACGTAGGAATATGAGGGCAGCCCAAAGTCATGTGAGGACCCACAGAAAACCCCACAGGTTTTGCTGCCAACACCCCAACCCCAGCTTGTCCAGTGCTGGGAAACGGGTTTTGCAAAGGGCACCCGTGCTCATTTTGGGTGCGTACTCTTCAGTGATTTTGCCATGGATCCCACGCGTGCTTCTGACCCGGTGTTGGGTGGCTGTACTTGCTGTGCTTTTGGCTCCTGCCAAACGGGACCTTGGTGGGAATCCTCGGCTGTTTGCACGTGCCTCTCCAGTAGCAGGGAAGCACATGCAAAACGGGCCGGGGGCATGAGGAAAACCGAGTTCCCTCAAAGAGTCTGTGAAGCTGCACTTCAGAAACTGGGAAAGTCTCTTTCCACAAACCACACTCTCTTCTGATGCATTGACAGGAATTGACCTGTCCCACATGACAGCTCTGTGCAAAGCAGGAAAGTCCTCACCTTCACCCTGGGCCAGGCACTGTACTTTGGGGAGGGAGCAGGACACCCCCCCCGCCATATCTAGTCCAGGGACCCCCTTGTGCTAACCCAGCTTGCTCCATTTGTGCAAACAGAACAGCTGGGTGTGTTAAAGAAACAAGCATAGTTATTGGCTCAAAATTGGGCTTCTTTTTTTCCAAAGGGGGGCAATCACAGGCAACCCCCCCCCCAAGGCACTGCTGGGGCTTCTTGAGGGGACAGCTTGTAGCTGCCTAAAACAGGGATCAGAAAAGTCATCCTGAGAAAAGGCTCAGAAAGACACATTTCAGTGATCCAGAAACATCCCACAGTGGCTGGGGCTGGGGGCGCAGGGAGTGTCTCTTGCAGCCTCCTCAAGGCTCCCACAGCGCTAGCTGTGGGGCCAGAGCAGCAAGTATTGCCCGTCACTTTTGCCAAGCGGCTCTTTGGGAGGGTTGGCCACCCCAGGACTGGTTGTGTTGTCTGGGTTTGGATGGTGCTTCAAGCCCAGGGCAGCTTATAAGCCCCACAACAAGCTGTGGCTTCATGGAGTGGGATAGAAGCCCAGAGGCTGGCCGTGTAAACAACCCTCTAGGAAACGCACCTGAGGTTGGATGACTTGCTAAGGTACCTGGGTAACAGATGGTTTGGCATGTTGTGTGAACCCAGGCAGTGGGTGTATGGCTCAGCTGCTAGAAGGTCCTGTTTCTTGGGTAGCAGTGCTTGGAAGGTCTTTTTCCTGAACTGCCAGAGCTGCTGCTGGTCCATGTAGAGAGGCGGGGCTGAATGAATCGGTGGTCTGCACTGAATCTGGCAGCTTCTTATGCGCCAGGCAGGATTAGGCGCCTCACTTGTTTTTCTCAAATTGTAGGTGCGCATAAACAGCGCTCATGGCTCAGTCCACTCGCTGGACACAGAGGCGATGCTGTCTTCGGGAGAATCCCTTAAGTCAGACAATGACATGTTTAAAGAGGGGCTGCGCAGAGCGCAGTCAACGGACAGCTTGGGGACATCAGGATCCTTACAAGCCAAAACTTTGGTCTACAACAACAAAGCTAAATCGGCGGGGAACCTTGATGAGTCTGACTTTGGGCCATTAGTCGGGGCGGACTCTATGTCAGAGAACTTTGACACAGCCTCTCTCGGCTCTCTGCAAATGCCCGGCGGGTTTATGCTAACCAAAGACCAGGAGAAAGCAATCACAGCAATGACACCGGAGCAGGAGGAAACGGCGTCCCTTCTCTCCAGCATCACACAGACCACAGAAAACGCATACGTGTCCCCTAGCGGTTACCGCCTCGTTAGCGAAACAGAGTGGAACCTTCTTCAAAAAGAGGTACGTCTCCTCCAGCTGCTGCTGCTGCTTGCCACCGAGGGAGAGCTGCCACAGGTGATGGCTCACCCATCTTAAACAAAAGGCTGCCTTTCCCTTCCCCGAGTTCTTAAATCTGGATGAGCAGTTGTCTCAGCCCCATCACAAAGCATTGCTTTAGCATTCTTTTATAGAACTTTGCAGCTTTCCTGGCAAGTGATGACTTTGTTTCCTCCAGGTGCAAAACGCTGGGAACAAGCTGGGGCGTCGCTGTGATATGTGCTGCAATTACGAGAAGCAGTTGCAAGGAATCCAGCTCCAGGAGGCTGAGATGAGGGATCAGGTGAGTGCCGGCAGAGCTTCTTTCTGCAAAGGAGCTTGTTGCTTTTAGCCCCCCGCCCCCGGCCAAATTATTCTGTGCAAACAGCACAGGGAGGTGATCACTGCAGCTGCCTCTTCAAGAGCAGTAAAATGATAAGCGAAAGCATGAGTTCCGTCCAGCTGTTCCCTGGCCCACGTGCACATGGCTTGGAACCCTGCTGAAATAGCATCAGTCATCATGGCCTTTGTGCATGGAAGGGAAAGAACAGCCAGCTGCATGCAAGCAATTTTACGAATCCAGTGATGATCATGAGGATATGTCTGTTCTGTTGCCCATTTTTTAGTGGAGCAGTTTTTAGGTGTGAGCACTTACGGCCTCACCCAATGGCTCACTCTCCGCTGAGACTCATTGACCCCCTTCTCCCCAGCACTTACAGCAACAGAGGCTGTTTGGCAGAGGTTTTCCCACTAGCATCCCCGTCGCTCACACCCATTTACTTATTTTTGGCTTGTGCACGGGAGTCATAGAATCATAGAATAGAAGAGCTGGAAAGGGCCATGAAGGCCATCAGGTCCAACCCCCTGCTGTTGCAGGACACCAGTTTACACCATCCCACTCAGAAGGCTGTCCGTTTTCACCCTGAATGCCTCCAGTGTGGGAGAGCCCACCACCTCTGCAGGCAGCTGGTTCCACTGTCGTATTGCTCTGATTGTGGGGAAGCTTTTCCTGATGCCCAGCCTGAATCTGGCTTGCCGCAACTTGAATTGATTATTCCATGTCCTATATTCTGGCATGAGCAAGAAGAGATCTTGGCCTTCCTCTTTGTGACAGCCTTTGATGTACTTCTAGAAGGATCTCATGTCCCCCCTCAGTCTTTTCTTCTCAAGGCTGAACATGCCCAGTTCCCTCAGTCTCTCCTCACAGGGCAGTGTTTCCAAATCCTGTATCCTTTTTGTTGCCCTTGCTGGACCCTTTCCAATTTACCTGCATCTTTCTTAAATCTGGGTGCCCAGAACCGGACACAGTATTCCAGGTGAGGTCTGACTAGTGAGGAGTATAAGGGGATACTACTTCTCGTGATCTGGAAGTCATACTTCGGTTAATGCATCCCAAAATAGCATTTGCCTTTTGGCGACTGCGTCACATAGTTGGCTCATGTTTAGCGTATTGTCCACAATTACTCCAAGATCTTTTTCTTGTTCAGTTCTGCTGAGCCACATATTCCCCATCTTGTATCGAAGCCTTTGGTTTCTTTTTCCTAGGTGGAGGACTTGGCACTTGACCTTACTGAATTTCATTCTGTTGGTTTCAGCCCAGTGTTCACGTTTCTCAAGATCTCCCTGGATCTTCATTCTGGCTTCTAGGGTGTTTGCCATTCCGCCCCATTTTTGTATCATCTGCAAATTTGATTATCTTTCCTTTTACTTCCTCATCTAAACCATTAATAAAGATTTTGAAGAGCACTGGGCCCAGGACTGAACACTGTGGCACCCCATGAGTTACCTCCATCCAATTTGAGAAGGTGCCATTAATGAGCACTCTTTGTGACCGATTTAGCAGCCAATTTTGGATCCACCTAATAGTTTTTTCATCTTGTCCAGTTTTTGCTAATTTGCTTATCAGAATGTCGTGTGGCACTATGTCAAAAGCTTTGCTAAATTCTAGGTAGATTATATCCACAGTATTCCCTTTGTCCATTTGGGAGGTTACCCAGTCAAAAAAAATGAGATTAAATTAGTCTGACAGGATTTATTTTTGATAAATTCATGCTGGCTTCTGTTAAACACTGCATTTTCTTCAAGATGCTTGCAGATGGATTTTTTAATAATTTGCTCCAGAATTTTTCCAGACTAACTGGTCTATAGTTCCCAGGTTCATCTTTTTTCCCATTTTTGAGGAAAGGGACAACATTAGTCCTTCCCCAGTCATCTGGCACTTCTCCTGTATTCCAAGATTTATCTAGGAATTATCTTTATACTAGCCAGTGGTTCTGAGAGTTCCTCTGCTAGCTCTTTTATGATTCTGGGATGGAGTTCATTGGGCCCTGGAGATTTGAAAGTGTTTATTCCACCTAGGTATTCCTTGACCATTTGTCTGTCAATCTTGGGCTGCCATCTCTTACATCCTGCTTGAACTTCCTCTTGATTGCAGATTTCCTTGTGGGAGAAGACTGAAGCCAAGTAGGAATTGAGCGCCTCTGCCTTTTCTTTGCCAGCTGTTACGACTCTGCCTTCCACTTTGAGTAGCTGGACACCCTTCTCTTTCTCATGTCTTTTGTTCTGGATGTATCTGAAGAAGACTTTCTTGTTGTGCTTAGCATCCCTTGCTATTCTTAGTTCATTTTCTGCTTTAGCCTTCCTGATGCAATTTCTGCAATCCCTTGCTATTTGTTTATATTCTTCTTTCGTGGCCTGGCCCTGCTTCCACTTCCTGTACATGTTCTTTTTTTTTTTTTTTTTCAGGCTGTCACTTAATCCTTTGTGGAGCCACGTGGGCTTCTCTGCTGTCTTCTACACTTTCTTCTTGATGGAATTGTTTGTAGTTGTGCTTCAAGAATCTTCTTTTTCAAGATTTCCCATCCCTCTTGGACACCTTTCCCCCTAAGGGTGTGTTGCCATGGCACTTCGCTTATCATTTTTCTGAGTTCGTTAAAGTCGGCTTTCTTGAAGTCCAGGATGCTTGTTTGGCTCCAGTTCCCCTTTGTCTCCTTCATAATTGAGAATTCAAACATCACATGGTCACTTTCCCCCAGACTTCACATGGATGTTATTTTGTCTACCAGGCCATCCCTTGTAGTTGTTGTTGTTGTTAGTCGCGAAGTCGTGTCCGACCCATCACAACCCCATGGACAACATTCCTCCACGCCTTCCTGTCTTCCACCATCCCCCGGAGTCCACCCAAGCCCACACCCACCGTCCCAGTGACCCCATCCAGCCACCTCACCCTCTGCCGTCCCCTTCTCCTTTTGCCCTCAATTGTTTCCAGCATCAGGCTCTTCTCCAGGGAGTCCTTCCTTCTCATTAGGTGACCAAAGTATTTGAGTTTCATCTTCAGGATCTGGCCTTCTAAAGAGCAGCTCTTTAGAAGGCTATCCCTATTAGTATTAAATTGAGGATAGCTGATCCTCTCGTACCTTCCTCTACTTTCTGCTGGAGAAAGTTGTTGGCAACACATGACAGGAGTCTCTTGGAGAGGCCATGCTTGGCAGAATTTATCAGGGAAACTAAAGTCCCCCATAATGACTACTTCATTCCTCTTGGAAATGCTGGCAAGTTGCTTTTTGAAGGTTGCAACCTTGTCCTATTTTTGACTGGGTGGACAGTAATATATTGCAACAACTATGTTTTTCTTATTTTTGCTCCCTTTAAATTTAGCCAGATGCTTTCAATGGGGCTTCTAAGTTCTTAAATTTCTGTACAGATATATGTGTCTCTCATATATAGTGCAACTCCACCTCCCTTTTTGTCCTTTCTATTTTTCTTGAACAGGCTGTATCCATCAATTGCAGAGTTCCAATCATGTGAATCGTCTCACCAATTGCCCTCATGTACTATGAGCTCAAGTTCGTGTTGCTTGTTTCCCATACTCTGGGCATTGGTGTAGAGTCATCAAAGTCCGTTCTTGCTATGCCCTGGTTTTCTTTCTACGTATTTTGGGAGACTGGTGCTGGGCCTGCTTGAGGAGGCAGACAAAACCTTCAGGATCCCAGTGTGCCTGTCCGCTTGGGGATGGAGGGCTTTGGAGTCAGATAGGGTATATTTTGCCTTTCAGATAAATAATAACTCCCCAAAAAAAAAACTCCCCAAAAAAACCCCCCAAAAGTTCCAAGAAATACACTTACCAAATTTTTAAACTGGGGCTCAGAGGAAGCTGTTTGTGAGGAAAAGAGTATGTCCGGATGTGTGTTCCAGCAGACAGAAAATCCTTCTTGCCAAATGCTTCAAACTATTTTCAGAAAGACAAGGGGGAGATAAATACAAAGCTCGTGTAAGAAAAATATGTCTTCTTAACTGGGGCTTTTCCTTTACGACAATAATTATTAGAAGGGGCAAATGCTTACTCAGCATTGACCCAAAGCTAAGTTTCTTTTTAAGTGTGTCCAACTCCAGTGAATTCAAAGAGATCCTAATGTAGATAATACTGAATAAGAACTAAAAGGATACATATTCTGGGAATCAAAGCAGAGTATCACTATAAATAAATAAATTCTTCACCTTCTCCTAATAAACAGTTCAATTTTCCAGATAAACAAGTGCAAAAATAGCAGTTAAAAATACTTATGTATTGCACTAGACAGCCCCCACACTCTTTCTGGCGTTCTGTCTTCATAACTGTTTATGAAATGTAATTGTGATGCTCTAGAAGCCAAACTTAGTTGGCTAAGTAGCAGGTCCAAGATTCAAGATCACCAAGGTGGCTTTGTCTGAAATGTCTTACTCAAAACCCCAGTGGTTGAAGTTCAGCTAGAATGTATAGCACAAGTTAGGAGAGGTGGCACCCAGTTTAAAAGGTCAGCAGCATGATTAGTAAGTGGGGCAAGGAAGCCATCAGGGGAAAGAAGGCCTCCTTCTGCATATGGAAGCCTTGTCCAAAAGAGGAGAACAGCAGGGAGCATGAATTTGCACATACCCCCGCACTCATTCTGAGGAGTATACTGCTAACATCAAGGCCAACAATGAAGAATTCTTCAAATATGTCCGAAGCAAGAGAACCGCCAGAGAGGCAGTTGGACCACTGCATGAGTGGAGTTAAAGGAGTGCCAAAGGAGGATAAGGATATCACAGAGAAGCTGAATGAGTTCTTCAGATCTGGTGACATGACAGGAGACAACATGTTTAAGTTTCAAGTCCTGCTTACACAATCAGAGATGGCTGGAGTTGAATTTCAGTTTGTGTTGCCTCTGAATCACCCCTTGACTGTGTATACAAATTGGAGGCTGAAGAGAGTTTTGATGTTGTTATCTTAGTGTTCCCAGTCCTGTAAACAAACCCTCTGGAAGACAGACAGACCAGGTGCGATCAGAATTTCTGGTGGTCTCTGTGAAGTCTTTGAAAGTTCAGAGCGCTCTAAAATGTATTTTGGTTTCATTCAGCTTCTCTTGCAGCTCACAAGCTTATCCTGAGTTTTAGAAAGTTCTTTGGGGAGGAATATAGGTATTCTCTTCTGGGCCCAAAGATTAGCATCGTTTCCTGCATCGGGAAGAGGCTGGCCATGGCCAAACTCTCAGCAGAGCATCCTCAGAGGGATCCCAATGTCTCACCCCTGCTGTGTCTTGCCTCCTTTACGTGGTTTTTTTGCTGCAGAGCGAACGGTTGCTCTTTCGGATGCAGGGATGCTTAGGGTGTCCTCTTCTGTCCTAACCACGCAGGTGAAGAAGCTGCAGATGATGCTGAGGCAGGCCAACGATCAGCTCGAGAAGACACTGCGAGAAAAGCAGGAGCTGGAGGAGCGCGTGAAGCAAACCACGGAAGACTCAGGAAAGCAGGTAAAGGTGGCTTGGGCCAGAATGCAACTCTTTGCCACAATTTTCCTTTTCTTTTCAAATACTGTTCTGCATAGCTTTCATGTGCAAGCAAGGGGTGCTTTGTGTTGGCCGGTAGCCAGTTGGGACAGACATCCACATCAGCCTCAGGGAGACATGAATCAGTGCAGTATAAAGGCAGTTTGGCTCAAATAAAAATGGGGTTACCGTCTTAGTGACTCAGTTGTCCCACATTTTCCAGCCAGGATTAGTTTCAAAACTAGCTTGCAGGTGAGATTGAGTGAAGCTGCTGCAAGCAGAGCCCTCTTTATAGTTTTGCTGGAATGGCCACTCAGATTACTATGAAGGGTTACCCCTTAAAAGGGTTTGCAGGGCTTCCCTCTGGCTGAAGGCCCTTTCTGAAAGTCCCAGCAAGCCTCCCCTTAATTTTACCCCCTCACTGTTATTAGACTCTTAATCATGAACGTATGTATGTATTTAGGGAACTTCTATGCCGCCCCATTCACCGAAGCCTTGGGGCAGCTCACAAACATAAACAAATAACATCCTATAAAACAATATAATTTAACAATATAAATTAAGTCGCCCTGGCCAAAGAATAAAATAAATAAATAATATTAACAATTAAAATAACATTTGAATAAAATGGTCTTCGCCTGGCGCCGAAAAACAAATAACGACGGTGCCAGGCGGACCTCTCTGGGGAGCTCATTCCATAGATTGGGCGCCACCGCAGAGAAAGCCCTCCTCTGGTACTTACCCTCCTAATTTCCTTCACGGAGGGTTCCCAGAGAAGGGCCTCTGCTGCTGATCTCAAGGGGCAGGTGGGCATGTATGGACGTAAGCGCTCCTTCAGGTAACCAGGACCCAAGCCGTTAAGGGCTTTATAGGTCATCACCAACACCTTGAATTGGGCCCGGACTTCAATGGGGAGCCAGTGAAGCTGACGAAGAACTGGAGTCATGTGAACATAACATTCAGTCCCCGTCAGCAGCCTGGCAGATCTATTTTGAACCAATTGAAGTATCCGGACCGTCTTCAAGGGTAGCCCCACATAGAGTGCGTTACAGAAGTCAAGTCAGGAAGTCACCAACGCATGTGTCAATGTTGCCAGGCAGTCGTACTCCAGGTAGGGGCGCAGCTGATGGATCAGCCGAAGCTGAAGGAAAGTGCTCCTCGCCGCCGCTGTCACCTGAGCTTCCAGTGAAAGCTCTGGGTCGAGGAGCACTCCCAAGCTGCGAACCTTGTCCCTAAGAGGGAGTGCAACCCCATTCAGGACTAGGTTCAGTTCACCTTCCCCGAAGCCCTATCCGCCAACCAACAGGACCTCCGTCTTGTCTGGATTGAGCTTCAGTTTATTGGCCCTCATCCAGCCCATTACCTCAGCCAGGCACCAGTTCAGCACAGCCACTGCCTCACCTGGATTGGTGGAAAACGAGAGATAGAGCTGGGTATCATCAGTGTACTGGTGATTCCGCAGCCCACACCTCCTGATGACCTCTCCCAGCCGTTTCATGTAGACGTTAAACAGCAAAGGGTATAGCTGCCATGGCGCAGAGTCATAGTCCCCCAGCACCACCTTCTGGAATCGGCCGTTGAGATAGGAGCGGAACCACTGCAAAGCAGTGCCTCCGACCCCCAATCCCGCTAGCCTATCCAGAAGGATACCATGGTCGATGGCATCGAAAGCTGCTGAGAGGTCCAGGAGGACCAACAGGGACGCACTCCCCCTGTCTCTCTCCCTGCACAGGTCATCATAGAGGGCGACCAAGGCAGATTCAGTGCCGTAGCTGGGTCTGAAGCCGGGCTGAAATGGGTCCAGATAATCAGTTTCATCCAAGAGTGCTTGGAGTTGTCCCGCCACCACCCGTTCCAACACCTTGCCCAGAAATGGGACGTTGGCCACCGGTCTATAATTGGCGGCCACCTCTGGATCCAGTGACGCTTTCTTCAGGACCGGTTGGACTACCACCTCCTTTAAAGGGGCAGGTACCCGACCCTCCCTCAGAGAAGCGTTAACCACTTCCAAGATCCAGGTCCTAATCCCATGCTTGGCATTGTTAATTAGCCAAGATGGGCAAGGGTCCAATAGGCAAGTGGTGGGATGTACTCGTCCAAGCACCTTGTCCACATCATCAGGTCACAATAACTGAAATTCATCCATTAATTTTGGACCAGACGGTGACATTGTTATCTCCCCAGAAGCCTCTGAATTACTAGTAGAGTCTAGCTCGTGACGAATCTGACTTAAACTCTTAAACCCCTGCCAGGCATGAGACTTACCTAAAAAAATCCACAAATGCCGTGCTCTTTCCCCAGCCCCAGAAAGGCATCCTCCCAAAGATGACAATCTCTTCTCAGTTTCAGCCCCTTTCCGAAGATAGCTTCCATTAACAGCAGTATTTTAAAACTAAACTGGATTTTTATTTTGAAATAAAGTTAAGCATCATAGTGCATGTGTTAAGTGGGTTGAACAGGGTCTTGGGAAATCTGAGCCCTGATGCTCGCTGGGTGACTTTGGGTTAGTACCTGACTTTCAACTTAATCTACCTCACAAGGTTGTTGTGAGGATGAAAGGCAGCAGAGGAGGCCTGTGTAAGCTGCCTTGGTCTTCTAGCCAGAGGAGCCATGGTGGGACATCAGTGGAAGAGTAAAGAAGCACCTGCACATGATCCAGTGAAGGAGGGAACACAGCAGGGTCACTCATGGAACGAAAAGCATGGAGTGCCACCGTTGGTGTGTCCTGGGCACCACTGGCCACCCCTTTGGTGTCTTTCGGAGGGGACGGGACAGCTTCTTGAGGGAGGATGGTGTGCCATGGATGCCTGTGCCCTGTGTGAGGGATCCCGTGGGCAGCTGAGTGGCCGCTGCGTGAGTGGAAGGCTGGGCCCTGGGTCTCTTCCAGCAGGGCTCCTCCTAGGTTCTTAGGCTTGTGGGATGATTGAAGTGAAACTCCTGTGTGGATGGACGCATGTACTTCATAGTCAAATCACTGCTGGAAATCCGTTCATCAGAGTTTGCTTGGAAAGTGATCAGAAACTTGACAGCTTCCACACAGGCAGTAAATGCACAAGGCAGTGTCACAGCATTTTTTAAAGGGATTCCTTGCCTGTTGTACTTGCTGAGTCATTTCTGCTTAATCCTCTTCTCCCACGTTTGATCAGTTCCCATACTGTTCACTTTCTTGGCAAGCTTCCACACTGTGTGCTAGAAATGGACTCATTCTTGTACGCGGTTGCTTCAGGAAGTCTTTATGTGGGGACCCAGGGTTATGAGAGCCAGTGTGGTGTCGTGGTGAAGAGCATGGGACTGGGACTCAGACGATCTGGGTTCTAGTCCCCGCTTGGCCATGGAGCCAACTGGGTGACTTTGGGCCAGTCACAGACTCTCAGCCCAACCTACCTCACAGGGTTGTTGTGGGGATAAGATGGAGGAGGAGAATGATGTAAGCTGCCTTGAGCCCTTTGTAGGAAAAAGGCAGGATATAAATCGAAAAATAAGTAAAAATAAATATTAGGCTCAAAACGGTGAAGAAACATCGCTCTGCTTGTGGTCCAGCTAGAAGATAACCCTGGTAATAATCGCAGCCGTGTTTCAGAGCTCCTGGGCTCTTGGGGCCCTGCCAGAGGGACAGGTGGGAACCAGTCTGGCCAAGCCCCATCCAACAATGCTGGCTGTAGTTGTGCAACCTGGGGTGAGCGTCTGCAGGGGTGACATGCCGCTTAATGACACTGTTGTACAATTGCTTCCGTGATGCTTGGATTGATGCGTCCTTTTTCTTTCCATTTGACAGATCTCGTCTCTCATCCTTAGAGTGCAGGAGTCTGAGGCCTCGCTAAGTGAGCTACAGCAGGCATTTTCTCAAGCTAAGAGAAACGTTCAAGACCAAATGGTAAAGAAATGCAAGCAGATTATGCCACCGTATGTGTAATACAAATGTTTGAATGCTAATACTAGGCTCAGGTCTTCCCCAGAAATGATGGACAGTTCAGAACAGAGAGAAACCATTACTTGGCACTATGCATAGTTCAGCCATGGAATAGTTCAGTCAGCAAATGGTCCTCGATGTGGTCCAGGGGGTGCATGATGGGGGGGGTCAACAGTTGCCAAGAAGACTGGGAGGCCTAATAAGGCCATGCTCCCCGATCTGGCTTCCACCACTGGCTGTCTTCCAAGGTGGTCACCGTACTCTCAGTCCCGCATCTCACCTGCTCAGTCACCCTGATGTCTTTGGAGTTGCAAGGGCCACCACCCGCCCGCTCAGGCTGCCTTGGTCTAGAAGGACATACTGGAGCGCATGTCTTTGAGATGGGCCTCTGACTTCCCCACACTGTTGGGCCAAGCAGAGGTGTCTTTGCTACCGCCATCTTTAAACAAGGGGGAACGTGTCCCTCCAGCAGGGGCAACTCCATTGGATGCTGCCACCTTATAGGACCGGCCCATGAGTGTTGCCGGAGTTCTAACTGCCTTGCTGAAAACCAGGGAGACAGGAGAGTTTTCTTACCATCTCTGTCACTTGGTTACTTTGGAATCACGTCTGTAGGAATTCATAAGATACATCTGCTGAATTGACTGCGCTTTCCATGTTAAACCTGTTAAGTGGGACAGCAAAGCAGTGTGAGCTCCCTGAAAACTCTGGCAGTGGGACTGAGGTTCAGCTGGTTGTTTGCAAGGTGCCGTGAGCGGAGTCGGCTGGAGCCTGGGGTCAGACTAGATGGCCTGGGAGACCCCTTCTAACTCGCTCTGTTTCTGTGTTTCATTTGACTGCCCTTCTGCTTTTGTTCGTGTGTTTATTTAATGACTCGCCATTCCCAGTCTTAGTCAGTGGGGGAAAGAGCCTGAAGCATTTTACATGCTGGTCTTTTCACACAGCCAGTATTTCTATTGCTCCTGTCCATGTTCGGGCTGTTGCAAATGAAATGTGACTCAGTCAGACAAGCTAGTTCTGAAGCCAGGACTTTACACCTTTGTTTGTTTGTTGGAGGCTGTCCTGATGCAGTCCAGGGAGCACGTCTCGGAGGAGCTGGCAAGGCTCCAGAAAGACAACGAGAGTCTTCAGGGGAAGCATGGTCTGCATGTCGCTTTGCAGCAGGCGGAGGACTTCATCCTGCCAGAATCCAGCGAGGTAGGGGCACCCTTGCTCTGCAAGAGAAATCATGCTGTGTGTGATCAAGGAAGCACAAACTGGAGTGGGACAGAAGCTCAGAAAGATGCAGCCATCACTGTTTGGGAGCAGAAAAAGCATACAAGCATTTTTTTTCATCATGGTCTCTGTGCCTCACACATATATGGGTGCTGTGCCTGCACAGTGCCTATTGTCGGGAAGATTTCATAGCTTTAAGTTTTTGGCAGGAACTCTGCCCCCCCCCCTTCCCCTGGTATAAATGGGCAGAGTCCTAGCCCCTTTGCCAGTCTGCTTGCAGTCGCTGTTCGCTGTGCCTCGGGTTCTTTGCTTACCCTTGTTTTTTCTCTACCCCCAAAAATTATTGTACTCTTTTTGTCTTTAACTAATCTTTGACTTCTCTTTACCCTGACTTTTACCTCCTAGTCTTCAGACCCTATGATCCTCCTTATTTTCACTTCCTCCCCCGTAACTACTATCTCCGATTGTAAAAAAATACAGCCTCCCTTCTTTCGTCATCCTTTCATATTCTTCTCAATATGGCAGCGTTCCATAAGTGTGCTCAGTGCAGGGCAAAAATGTCACCCACCAACCCGCATTCTCTTTGTTTGCTTTGCCTTGGAGAAGGCCACTGCATGGACCCTAACCCTAACCCTAACCCTTCACCCGGCAAGCCTGAAAAAATCAGGAGAATCGCCTGAAGAAGATGTTATGGATCAGGCTCTTCTGGCGATGAAGGAGGTCACCGCAGCTCCCTCCTCTGCTACTCCCGCCTCTGAAAGGAGTGCTCCCCTTCGTCCTTTGCAAGGGGAAAGTGTCAGTACCGATGGCAAGGGCTCTGATCGGTCTCAATCTCCAAAGGAGAAAAGAAAGCATATCGAGACCAAGGGGACCGCCAAAGCTAAGCATCCCAAAAAGGACAAACCCAAGCATTGTCACAAGAAGTACCCTCACGTGCCTCGACAAGACCCATCTGCCATTTCCATCACCTCGGTACCCAGCGCCTCGGTACCGAGTTCGGCAGTCGTCTGTGCAAGTGATGCTTAGGTCATCCCCACGTTGCATAGCCAGCTCCCCTCACTCCAGTCCAGAAGCTCCGAAGCCAATGGCATGGACTTCAGTGTCCGATGATGAAATCCGTGAGTTGCCTACCCACTCGCCTCCACCATCCGAGCGCTCCACGCAATCTGTCCATGACCGCTATACCACCAACTCCTACTCCAGGGGGGCATTCGTCTCCAGAGGCTTCGCCAAGGGCCACCCAGCATCCACCTACACTCCACCCTGATCCACCTGATTGAGACTGATCTAGATACTGGATGCCACCCCCATGCAGGCACTTTGCTTCCGAACAGTATGAGCAGACATATCCGTGGGAATACTGTCCACCTTATAGCTACCCATACTCACCACCACCAACACGCCACCAGCGACCTCCATCTCCTGCAACTTCCTGAGATGTTCCATCCACTTCAGCTGCCTCCATGCCTCATCCAGACCTGTCTCCTGTCGACTCTTCCTCCTCGAGCCCTCCATATCACTCTGAATTGGACTTGGAGGAATGTGAGCAAGCCTCCACCTCTCCTGACCTCCTGGTTTCGACTCAGGACTCGGGATCGACATTCAACAGCATGTCAGTCCCAACCAGGACAACATCTATGATGTTATTCATATGGAGGATGTAGTCCCAGTGGCGCTGCCATTCATCTCCACCTTGTGTAAGGCTATGATGGAGTCATGGCAGCTACCTAAATATCCTCATCCAACCTCCCGGTGCCTTGAGTCTATGTACCGGGTCAGAGAACAGAACATTCCCTTTCTGCTTAGTCACCCACAGCCTAACTCGATGGTCATCAAGTCAACTCAAGGCTGTTAATCCAGGGAACACACCACACCAACGGATTGTGAGGGGAGAAAGATCGACCTGCTGTCTCGCTGGAGCTACTTTGCCATGGAACTCAGTCTTCGTATCTTCAACTGTGGGGCTACTGTGGCAGGCTACCAGTATTTCCTCTGGCAGAAGATCAAGTCCCTTGCTGCATTTCTCCCTGACGAACAGAGACTTAGCCAGAATCTTCATTGGGGAAGCAACAACTGGCAACAGTGAGGCACTGTGTTGACTGTGTTTTGAGGGTGCTTGTTGGTACAGTGGCTCTCAGACACCATGCGTGGCTTTGAGCTGGTAATCTATCCCAAGAGATGAAGCAGAGGGTGGAAAACATGCCCTTTGATGGAACTGGTCTTTTCCACACAAGACTGATGACAAGTTGGATTCCATCCACAAAGCACGTCTCACCGCCCACAGAATGGGATAGACACCCGCTCAGAGTCGACATAAGTGGCCTTGGAGCAAACAGATTCATTTCTGGTCCTTCCAACCCTCCCAGCAGGGTTACTCCTCTGGATGTCAGCCTTTCCACCAGCAGCCGACTTGCCCCCATCATGGTGAAGCGCCTCGGTACCAGCAGCCCAGGAGGCACACGGACAAACCTCAGCGTTGATGGGCTGCATGAACTTCTCTTTCCCTGAACCCACCTCTCCCCCTCCCTTTTGGGGACAGACTACAACATCAACTCCCCATATGGGAGTCCATCACATCTGATCATTGGGTTCTTTCAATCGTAGAGCACGGATAGGAAATCAAGTTTGAAACTGTGCCGCCTCTCGGGATGATCCACTGCACAACAGCCTCACCAGTTCTACTGAAAGAAGTCACTGAGCTGCTTCATAAGGGAGCCATCTGAAAAGTTGGTTGCTCAGAGGTACTGCATGGTTTCTACTCTAGGTACTTCATGGTACTGAAGAGAGATGGGAGTGTTCGCCTCTTCTTGAACTTGCGTGGAGTCAATAAATTCATCAAGACAAAGAAATTCAGGATGACCATGCTCCAAAATATTCTTCCATTGCCCGGGAAAGAGGATTGTTTCGCATCCCTGGACTTGAAAGACGCCTATTTCCACACAGACGTCCACCCGACTCATAGGCACTTCTTGAGATTCAGTTGGTACTGAGGTCTATGAATATAACGTCCTTCCCTTTGGCCTCGCCACTGCTCCGAGGGTGTTCACTAAATGTATGGCCCCAGTTTATGTCCATCTCAGGCTTCGGGGCATTCAAATTTAGCCTTACCTGGATGAGTGGCTCCTAGTCTCCTCCTCCAAGGTGGACCTCTTAGCATCTATTAGAACAACTTGTTCCTTGCTCGACCAATTAGGACTCTGAATTAATAACAAGAAGTCATGCCTTGTTCCTTCCCAGGTCATCAGTTACATTGGACCACGTTGGGACTCGACCTGCACATGGGCTTCCTTCCTCTGGATCGGACTCAAAGACTCATACATTCCGTGAACACCCTCACTTCTAAACGGACTGTCACCATGCACTTCATTCAGCAGGTACTTGGTCATATGGCATCTGTGGTTTCTGTGGTATCGAATGCGAGGCTGTGGATAAGACCACCCCAGCTATGGTTCAGCCGCAGCTTCCATCCTGAGCACTAACTCACCATACCAGCTACTACAACCCCCACACGCGGTCCTCCAAACTCTGTCTTGGTGGACAACCGATACCAACTTGACTCGGGGTGCCGGTCCAGTCACAAGAACCAACTGTGATGCTCTACACCAGTGCTTTCCTGACTGGATGGGGGACACACTGCACTTCACTCTGGACGCAAGACACCTGGACCGCCTCAAGACAACAAGGCACATCGACTACCTAGAGCTGCTGGCAGTATTCAAGGCACCCTGTGCTTTCCAAGTGATCTTGGAAGGAAGGACCATACAGATTGCATCGGACAATGTTGTGACCATTTTTTACATCAACAAGCAAGAAGGGATGAGATCGGTCCCATTAGTTCACCTCGCTGTTCGGATTTGAAACTGGTGTATTGACCACGGGATCAACAAACAAGCTGCACACCTCACCGGTACCAAGAACAAGGAGGCTGATTCCCTGAGCAGACATGTATCCATGATGCATGAGTGGGAGCTGGACTGTCATGCTTGTCACCATCTTTTCGAGCAGTGGGGAACACTCGATATAGATCTCTTGGCCACCCACAAGAACTCGGCATGCAGAACCTATTGCTCCTGAGCTGGTATCGGTCCGAATTCTATCGGGGACACACTCATGGTCTCCTGGAAGGGCAAGACATTCTATGAATACCCACCAATCCCCTTAATAACAAGGACACTGGCAGAGATCAACTGAGACAACACTCGTGGCATCCTGATTATCCTCCCCACCCTGCTTCAACTGTCCAGGAACAGTTACATTCATCTTCCCCATGTGCCACATCTGATCACCCAGGAACAAGGTGCAATTCGGCATCTGGACCTACAATCCTTGAAGCTAACAGCATGGCTCATCCAATGACTCCCATGTATACAACTTCCTCGGTACCGACATCACCAGCCTCTGCATATATAGCAACCTCCGTACCGTCCTTATCTTCAGGATTGGCAACACCAACATCTTCCCCGGTACCAACGACAACATCGGGATCGATACCTACTTCGGTACCGACGATAACCTCGGAACTGACATCCTGCACCTGGACATTCAATTTATCTTACAGTCCTCATTGTGGCCAAACGCACAACAATCATACAGCGCAAAATGGAAGTGCTTTACATGTTTTGAAACTACCAATAATTTCTCTCCTCAAGCTGCAACAATCGAGAACATCCTACAATTTTTACTCTCATTACTTCATGGAAGCCTCAAACCTTCCTCTATTAAAGTTTATATTGCAGCCATTTCGTACCACTATAAGAGGACTTACAGAGGGTTCATCGGTTTTCCCTCACCAGTTAATACGTCGCTTCTTACAAGGATTACAAAACCTTCAACCTCTGATCTGATTGATCGTCCCGACATGGAGCCTCTCTGTGGTTCTACAGACCTTAACGAGAAATCATTCGAACCTATGGCTACTGTCGACCTCCGACTACTTTCTTGGAAGACTGCTTTCTTAGTCGCCATTACTTCAGCAAGAAGGGGTAGTGAGCTTTGTGCCCTTTGGGTCGACCATATCTCAATTTTCATAAAGAAAAGGTGGTTCTTCGCACGGATACAACCTTTCTTCCTAAAGTAGCAACAGCTTTCCACCTAAATCAAGACATCGTCTCGCCAGCTTTTTTTCTAGCACCATCGACACCAATCAAATGCTCCCTACACAGCCTCAACAGGTGCAGATCCCTAGTGTTCTGTTGGTCCCATACAGAAACCTTTGTTAAATACACTGAACATGATAAAGGAACACCAATAAGGACCCAACACCTATCAAAATGGATTCTGGAAGCAATTCAACTTTCATATCGACTGGCCAAACTGGACTTGCCTATCGCTCCAAAAGGACATTCCACAAGAGCCGTCACTTCTTCTGCTGCCCTTCGTGCAGGCATCTCAGTACAGGACGTATTCAAAGCTGCTAGTTGGTCGGCCCATGCACCGTTGCGAGACACTATCGATTAGATGCCAGAGCCAGACAGGACTGCTCCTTTGTCCGTGCAACCTTATTGGCTGTTCTTCAGTAACAGCACCGTCCCGCCTCCTGGTGGGTAAGCTTGCTAGTCACCCCTATATGTGTGATGCACAGAGACCATGACGAAGAAAGGCAGGTCGCTTACCTGTAACTGTCGTTCTTCAAGTGGTCATCTGTGCATTCACACAACCCGGCCACCGGCCCCACTTCAGTGTTGGTGACTGGGTATCTGACTGGGTATCTGTCTGTCTATAAATTTATATATTTTCCTCTAGATACCATTCTTACAAGTTACTGTACTCATGTTTTTTCTTGCCAGTACCAGCAGGGAGCGAACGGGTGGTCTCCAGCTGACTGGCAAAGCGGCGGGGACTCTGCCCATTTACACTGGGGGGAGGGGGTGTGGCGCTCCTGCCAAAAACCGTTCAAGCTATGAAATCTTCCCGACAGCAGGTGCTGCGCAGGAGCAGCACCCATCTATGTGTGACTGCACAGCTGAGCACTGGAAGAACGGCAGTTACAGGTAAGCAACCTGCCTTTATCATTCTTGATGCATAAACCAGCAAACAGTGTGGCTCTTTCGGTAGTCATCTGCCCTAGTCTTGGGGCTCACGTGCTAATCCTGAGAAACCTGCTCTGGAGAAGCACCCAGAATGGAGCGGCAGTGCAGTCGGTGCGCTGGCCTGGCTCCCTTATTTCCCAAGTGCCAACTGGCATTCCTTCGGAATGGTTGTCCTACACAGAGACTCCTTCCCAATCTGCACCATTTATGCCCCACCACATGCCAGGGCCCACCTCTCCGTGCCCCACTCCACGTAGCAGAGGGGGCCCGAGCCCCCCCAGGCGGGTGATCTTCCTCCTCTGATCCTAGTTGTTTTCCCTTGCCATCCATGACAGCCCCACTCGGCTCTTGTGAACACCTGGGCCAGACACTGGAGCGGCTGCTTATGTAAATCCGTTCCCTACTGAAGGTGAGGAGTGAGCCTCGCTCCTCACATGTAAGGTCAGGATTCTTCTTGAAGATGGTCTAACTTGGGCCGCTTCGAGCCGGTGGGTCTTGTGCCCCTTCCAGCAGCGTCAGTGGACCAGGAGTGCTGGGGGCTGAAGTCCAGTGCGCTTCTGTTCTCCCCCATGCTCCTCTTACTCTCACCCAGGGGAGGAAAGAGGAAATAGGCCACCCTCTCTGGCAATGGTCGGCAGCTGCCTCCGCCCAGGTTTCTGCACTTCCTGTGGTTCCCCTTGGGTGACACAGCAACGCCAAAGCTACCCAAGTAGGTAGGTTTGTCGTGAATGGAGCCAGCTAGAGCCGGGGGTCAGACTAGATGGCCCGAGAGATCCCTTCTGACTTGCTCTGTTTCTATGTTTCTAAGTCAGCAGTTGTGGAAGTTGTGCCATACCGCCGGCTGCGGAAACTGAAGCAGGGGGAAGGTGCAGGCTTGCCTCCAGATTGCAGTGTCATGTATTGTCATGTTGTGTCCACTTTTGATTTTAATTACTGCTTCCATGTAAGGAAGATGTTTTCTTTTGATCCAAGAAATGCCTGCGACTTGCGCTGATCTCACTCTCATTGGCTGCCAGGGTTTGGAGGGATGATGTGCTGGAGGGCTGTGGAGATGGACCGGGTGCAGACAGAGCCCCTTTTAGGCCTGTGCACTGGGCGCGGCGGGAGGGAGTGGCAGCCGGCAGAGGCACCGGTGCTTCCTCACACTTCAGGAAACTTCCCTCGGTCGCGTGTGTGGAGGGACATGTTCTGAAACAGCAGTGGTCTTAAAGAACGCCATTCCCAAGTCCTGCTCCAAGTGAACAAGCCGAGCTGTGACTGTAGGAACGATTTCCATCGATCGCAGGCTGTATTTAAGGTCGTGCTCCATCCTCCAAAGCATTTGAATAGATTCCCAGACTTAAGTGTGCCTTCCTTCGCTGGACCATGACAACCAGAGGCGCGGCTTCTGAGCCTTGCGGTGTTCTAGCTATGTGCGGGGGCACAGGGCTGGCAGGTGCGGGGGCCCAGGTTTCTTTCTGCTGGCGAGGCGCTGGGGTGGCGAGGCTGGGAGCAAGTCCAGACAGACCGCTGGGGGGATGTGTCTGCATGGGGTGGAGAGGGGATCAAGCAGCACTCTGTTGTGCCAGTTTGCCACCCTTTCGTTCAGGAACTCCGTGAACTGGTCCTCAAATACCGGGAAGATATCGTCGGTGCGCGGACAGCCGCAGATCACATGGAAGAAAAGCTGAAGGCGGAAATTTTATTCTTGAAAGAGCAGATTCAAGCTGAGCAGTGCTTAAAGGAGAACATAGAAGAGACTCTGCAGTTGGAAATTGAGAACTGCAAGGAGGAGCTAGGTGAGCAGCGTCGCCCAGGCCACTCTCCAGCAATGTGCCTGCTCGGCCTTGGCTCTCCCTTCTGAAAAGAGGACTTACTAGCAGGCTGGGACAAACAGAGCGACGTACAAGGGAGAGCCTGGTGGTGTGATGCTGCAGAGGCCCCCACCCGCGGGAATTGTGGGGAGGGAGTTGCCTTTCTTACCCAGCTAAGCCTGAGTGCAATCTTAACACTCGACACTCACTCACTGAGAAAATGGCTTTAAAATACTTTGTGCGGTGAAAGGCTTTCCCTTCTCTCGCAGCTGCTGCTTCCAGTCTGAAAACAGAGTTGGAGAGAATAAGAATAGACAAGGAGCAGGTAAGGGCTCCCTCTGGACCACGCAGAACAGGTAGGCAACCTGTAACCCTGAGCAACCTTTTGCATCTCCCATGCATATTTCCGTGTGGTGTGATTGGGCTCGTGGAGCAGGGAGGGAATGCGCCAGAGTGTTGGTGTTTGTTCAGGGAACGTTGGTGGTGCGGCAGTGAGCAACTTCCTGCTGGCCTGCCGTTTTGCCTCTGGTCCCTGTGGTCACCCGTAGAAGAGGCTGCATGTGAACAAGGGGTGAGTGCTTGCCTGGGAGCTGCACCAGGCCCAGTCTGGAGCCCTCCCCTCCCTCCTGATGGCGGCATTTGCCCCTGGGTGCCAGAAGCACTGCCTTCTCCGAACACTTGGCTTCCCGTTAGGCATATTTTCAGCTCTGAGAGGGAGGGAATGCTTTTGAAGGGTTTGCATGGACTCCCAGACTTGCCCGGGCCTTTTCCCCTCTGAGCAGTGATGATGTCGGTGTCCCTCAGCAAAATGCGGCATCTTGGGCAGGCCTGCGTGGTGCTTCACTGTGTTGCTTGCAAAGTAATTCAGAGGGTGACATCCAGTGCTGTTTTGCTGGCATGGCTGTAAAATGTTCCTCTTTGTGTGCCTGCTGCTGCCGCACCTGCACGATGGGTGGGGCAATCTGCAGCCAGCTCCTTGGCCTGCCAACCACGGGAGTCCAGTGGGCAGTAGCACTTAGGGAGTGTAGCCGCTGAGAAGAAAACTCCCAGTTGCCCTGGCTGGTTGCAGCTCCCTGGGATAAGCGGCAAATTCTTTCCGTCCAGCTTTAGGAAAGCAAGGAATGAGTGCAGGCAAAGTGGAGCCAGCGGTTGCGGGACGGTTTCTAGCCTGCTTAGCTCGCGGTTTTCTCTTTGACTTTCACAGTTGGAAAACACCCTGAAAGAAAAAATGCAGCAGCTGGAAAGCTTTCAGGAAAAGAAAAACAGTCTGGAGGAGCAGCTGAAGAAGGAGGCAGCCGCAAAGGTAAGTTATTCCTGCGTGCGAAAGGACCCGCTTCTGCAAAATGAAGAAGGGGCTGAAAACGCTTGCAATTGGTAGCTGGTTGAAGAGCAGGAGGCGTGCGTGGTGCTTTCACCATGGAGAGGCTCAGCAAGGTGCCTCGGAGGTCTCTTGGCATCCCCCAGGAGTGGAGCAAAGGAAAGAAGCAAGGTGTGGTTTCTCATCGGCCAGGGGACCCTGGGCCAAGGGAGACTGCCCTCCTTGTCCCCTGGGGCGAACATCCAGCCAAGAGAGAGACCAGCCTGGCTTATCTCTCAGCCAGGGAGGGAGCGGCTGCAGGGAGCTCATTTCCCCTATCTGCAAAAGAGACTCTGCTCCGATTGATAGTTGCTCTGCAGGGACTGCAGAAGGGAAAGGGGAGCACCTGCTGTGAAAGCAGCAAGAGCCGTTCCTGGCTTTTTTATGGGCACAAGCTGCTGTGGGAGATCATCCTTCTCTGGAAAGTAGGATAGAAATGCATAGGTAAAATAAAGGCACTCCTGCCTCTCTCCCCAGGCCAACTTTGAGCAGCTGATGTTTGAAGAGAAGAACAAAGCACAGCGGTTGCAGACGGAGCTGGATGTCAGCGAGCAAGTGCAGAGAGACTTTGTGAAGCTTTCCCAAACCCTTCAGGTGAGGCTTTTGATCAGAGGCAATGAACAGAGCATGGGCAAGGGGACTCAGGCCGAACTTGATCCCTCTCATTGTGAAGTGTTGGATTGCTTCTGCAGATCTCAGCAGCTGGACAAAAGAGCTTTGCCCCACCCCTGGAAGCTGCTCCAAAAGGGGATTTGGCTTTCAGGCTGAAAGAGGCTCAGCACACAGGCCTTAGCGGGACAGATGCTTCGTGCGAGAAGCCCAAAGGGAAGAGTGGCTCTGCAGGGAGTTGGTGCGAGGATGGCGCAGCTTAGGGCTGCCTCAGAGGCACCTTCATTGCTGGTGCTGGGGCCTATTGGGTGGGAACACGGACTGGGCTTGTGGTGCTCTGGGGTATTCTTGCTACCTAGATCTGGGCTGCGGCCATTCTTGGAAAGATACCTAAATACCTGGGGGCCAGCTGATTCCCGCAGGTGCCTGCCATGAATTATATTGAAAGAAGCTTGAAATGGCATAGGCTTCCTTCAACAGAACATTCTTTCATCTCATCTCATCGTAAGAATGCCTCAGAACCAAAGTAAGCAAGCGACTTGCCCTTAAACTCAGCTGTTCTGCTTAACATTCATTGAAAATGTTTCCCAAAATGTATCTCGCTTATCTATTAAGTTATATCAATGTATATAACTTAATGTTGAACTCTTTTGTTGAACATTATGTAGGTTTCTCATAGCCACCACTTATTTTTATGATCTCCCTTGTTTGTTTGTTTTTCCCAGGTCCAGTTGGAAAGGATCCGGCAGGCAGATTCCCTGGAGAGAATCCGTGCGATCCTCAATGACACAAAACTGACAGACATTAATCAGCTGCCGGAAACATGACACCCTCGACTGCAGGGCTCCAAGGCTGCATTTTGGGGTGTTTTTATTTAAAAAAAACCCCTCATCTTTATAGCAAAACATTTAATAATTATTATTTAACTCTAACCGAAAGAGCAGAAGATGACACAGGGAGCAGTGGCCCAGGTTGCGTTTCTAAAAGGGAAAGATGGGTTTGCATGAGGGCAAGGACTGCGAAAGGCACGCAGGACCCTTTGGGGTTGTCTGCCTGCGGAAGGGCCAGCCAGGCTTCTCTGAGTAACAACCCTGCCTTTCCCATCTCTTCCCACCTTGCTCAGTTTTCTTAAACTAACTCTGGAAGACAGCTCTCTCCTCCCTCTGCACCCCCACCCCCCAAAATATACTGTGATGAAGGTAGCTGCTGGAAATCAGACCCCTCTCCATTGCCACCCCAGGTGCTTTGGAGTGAAGCTGTCGGATGCCACCCTTCCAGTGACTGAACGGTTACCAACATTATTTAGTGAGGTAGCAAGCAGGTCAGAGGGGCTATAGTATGCTATATGAATATTTTATATTAAAATATGGATTTATTTGCAGGACACTGGATGTTGGGTTTTGGGATTTTCTTGCTCAGTGCACTTTCTGTACCTTGTATGTTGCTTCAGAAGAATCTAAATGTTGTAGGAAAACATGATGAACAGGACAGAAAAGAGAAGACAGCTGCAGAGAAGAGAGAAGAAAATAAAGAACCTGCTTAATTTGTACCAGTAGCTTTCAGTCTCTTACACTGAGCCTTAGCTACTATAAATGGGGTATATAATACAGTGACCTTTATTTGTTTTAGCAAACAGGGACTGTGTGCAGAATATACAAGAGGACATCCTGCAGGATTGAGCTCCGTTCTATATACTTGTACAGTCTTAGTCTTACTATGTGCGAAATAAGTTCCTAAAGCATGTTTAATGGTTAACTGTAACCCCCTCCGCTTTGTGGGCTCCCGTGGCATTGCTGTACAACTCTTCAGAGCGTGGTTTGGCCAAGGATACGGGTGGGAGACAGAAGTCATCTATCTAGAGTCCCTTACTCTTTTTTGTTCTTTAATAGCCTTTAATTCCACACAAGAATGTTTGGAATTTTACTGCATTCCAACAAACCAAGCCACTGGTGTCCTGTGAAACTGTGGATGTAGAACTCTCCTGTCTACTGAATTCAAAATGTAACCATTTGTTAACTGTACTGAAGGTGTATCCTTAAGAAGTGTTCCAAATTAAAGGTGGAAAAAAGCCTTGCAATTGTTCTCTTAACTTCTTTCTGGTCGGTTCTTAAAGCCTTCCTCAAAGGCTCCTACCTGGAGAAAGGGTTAGCCTGGCAGTTCTGGCCTGGAGCCACTGAGCCAGCTCCCAGCGTGCGGTTGATGAGCGGGTCACCCTTGACTTCGCCAGAGGAGGCCACACCTGGAAGAGCCTGCGCCGTGAACTTGCCCTTTTTTGCACAAGCCACAAGCTGCCAAGAGGCCAGGCTAGCCTAGACATGACCGAGGAGGGCCTTCAGAAGGCACACAGGACACTTTTCTCGAGTCACAGCTGGGAGCGCAATCCACGGTGGAGTTCCCGTTGCGCAACTGCCTTGCCAAGAGCATGAGGGTGGGCAGGTCCTTCAGGTTGGGCCCAAGATCTCTCTGGCCCACTGATGACCCTAGTGATGTCCAAAGGCCTGCCTACTGCTCAGACTTTCTCTGTCTGCCCAAGAAAACTCTCTGAATACTGGAATTAGAAGTGAACGATTAACTTTTAAATAAGATGTTTATTTAATAAGTAAAAAACAAAGCAAAACAACTATGTATAACTCATAAATTAGGAGAAAGACAGCTGATCTAGCCTGTTCATATTAAACTAAAAGGTTACGTGGTTTCGGATATCATTTATTTGTTTCACCATCTCCTGGATGTGCTCTCCCCTGCAACAGAAAAATGGAATGCTTCAGAGACTGCACCAATTGAAAGAAACGCTCTAGGAAACATGGCTTGTAACCTACAGAAAATACAGTTTATCTGCTGCTATTCAGCCCTCAAAAGCTGCAATTCCAAACTTGGCCAAAGGTACATGTATGCACATCTCCTTTACTGTATTCAGTCGGGAACGTCATACACTGCTTTCAAATAATGTTATGGTGGCAGCATTGAAACCCTTAACATCAGCCATTCACCACTTGGTCCAAAGTAGAAATGCTAGCTTAGCTAAGGCGCAACTTACTCCTCTTTGAGAACGGTCTGGATGCATTTCCGCTGATAAGCACTGAGGGTGATGCTGGGTTTCCGTGGACTGGTCCCTTTCTCCATTTTCCGTTGCTGATAATCCTTCTTCATTTTAACCTACAGACACGGAAGAGCCACAAAGACAAAGGTAATTTAAAAGGCAATTCAAACGTCAACAATGCCTCTCGGTTCTTGTTGAGGGGCAGGGCAGGGCAGGGCAGGGCAGGGTGGGGGTAGTAATTTTGTACTCAGTATGTCAACCCCGTTATTCCAAACGCACGATCACCTGCTTGATAGCATTTCCTAAGTGCCGCAGTTGTTCTTGTATCGTCTGTAGTTCCTTCTTCATATCCTTTTCGCTGTCTGACAGGACAGGCAACTGAGAGTGAATACTGCGCAGCACTTTCTTCATCCTTTAAGTATAAAGACTGTCAAAGTACCAGTGCTGGAGAAACGGCTTGAGTGTCTTGTTAGAATCAACATCTCTGCCTTGCCTGGCAGAGATGTCCACCATTTTGAAACCGGCTTCTAGACCATCAGAGTCACATGTGTTTAAACCAGTGAATTTGTTTCAGTAATGCTACTTAGGGGTTGAGGGTCACCAGCAAGAACCCTACCCTGGAAACAAAACTGTCTTGTATTCAAAATCCTGAAATGTGTAGAGACAAATTCTCATCCAGTAATCTCTCTAAGGACAAACTACACCAACCAATTTCTGCTCAAAGTTCATTTTGAAAACTTCGCATATTGGTTGTTTCCCCCTCTTATTAAGCTGTTAACTGCTTCGCTGCCCATTCCTTTTTCCAACCAATGCTTTGGCACTCTAAGCTAGGCATTGGGGGTACATGTGCAGCCAGATAGTGGCAGCTCTGAACAGCTTGCCATTGCAAAGACAACAGCATCAGTTCGGCTGCTTCTGCTCTTAGAAGACTCTGCTTGAAGGATTCGGTCTGGGAGTAAGCCTGGACGAAGCTGTTGGCAGAAGCCTGCACTGTCGATCTCCTCCTGTGTGCTGACAGGTGCTTGTTCTCCAGCCGCTACCTTCCTTCCTGCTTAACGCAGGCTCAGCAATTCACTGTGCCCCCGAGCATTTAATGAGAATTATTACATAGTGAGTGTTATTAGTGACAAGTATGGGTACTGCCTTCCCCCAGGCCCTGGTAAAATAATGCACCCTCACCTGTTCACAACATCCTCCTGTTTCTCCTTGGCTTCTTCATACCTGTCCGCCAAGCACTCGGCCATCTCCCGCAGGCTTTTCCTTGTGGAGAAGAGGAAATGTTGCACTGGAAATGCAGCATGTGTGTCACCCCCACCCCCTGCCAAACAAATGGATGGGTGCCTTTGCTCTTGTCACACAATACATTTGTTCCAAATGGCAGTGTATGGATTTGTCTCCCGGGGCTGCAAACCAGCATCAACAGGAGAGAGACTGGAGCTTTAGCAAGGTCTTACTTTTAGGCCAAGTCCTGGCCCAGTTGCTGCTTTAACCCTCTGCAAGGCAGAATCCAAGGCTACTGTAAACCTTGCTAGCTCAGCCATAGTGGTCTCAGAGACAGGGAAAGAAAGGGTGGTCTGCTAGATGTCTCTGGGTGCACACCCAACATCCCTCAGCTGCAGGCAGCACCTGAGCATCCTCACACGGCCCCACCACATGTTCCTCTGACTTCTAGCTTTTCTGACTTTGAAGTCTGAAACAAAGCCTGCTTCCCAGATGTTCCAGGTGCTCAATTCAAGGGTTGCAGCTTTGCCCTAAACACCCAGAAGCACTCGGGAAGTTTGTCTAAATCTCATGAAAGCTAAGGCAGCCAAGGGAAACACGGGGCCCCTGGCAGCTTCCCCAGGAGTAGGGTAGGGTTCATAGCAGGCTTCGCGTCTGCCTAAGCTGGGGTTCTTACAGCTTTTCCAGAACTTGGCAGGACTATGAAGTCCCTTGCATACTTGGCTGCCCTAAAAACCTCGTAGGCTTGTAAGCATCACCCCGCCGTCAGTGGTGAAAGCAAGTGAACGATAGCTGGAGGCTGGCCAAAAGTGGATTACTGGCTAAAAACACGATGTGTGCCTTTAATTGCTTATAGCAGTGTGTCTTTTCAGTTTTTCTGACATTTGGCAAACCTGATCAGGTGGTAGTGGAAAGCCTGAACACGTCATGCCAATTGGATGGAAACAATGAGGTTCCAGGGAACGAGAAAAAACATTAACACAAATGGAATGCTAATGTGTGAAGGCCTTCAGTGGCAAAAACTTCTGCCAGAAGAAACCTTTCTTTTCAAACCCGCAAGTCAAGATAGATATGGACAAGGAAGTGGGGGGCGACTACAGAAACGGGCTGTACCCACCACTGTGTCATTCAAGAAGTTTTTGACCCAGCAGTGAGGTAAAAACTCTCTGAAGCAGTGAACACCTGGAGGGCCAGGTAAGACACAGACCTGTCAAGCTGGAAAGCACCCGAAGGCATGGCGCTCAGTGCAGAACTCCCCAGTTCAAGCATCCCACTCACTCGGGGCTGTCCAGACACCTCTGGAAGGGTCATCCCTGATGGAGCAGACTCACCTTTCTTCCCGACAGTAGGCAAGGTCTTCCAGCTGCTTCGTTTTCTGCTCACGCAGCAATTTCACTCTGAGGAGCAGGGCAAAGGCCAAAACGTTAGCATGTGCCGAGAGTGCTCTCGCCTCACCCTCCGCCTCTACCGATTTTTGCCAGCTTTAATTATCTTGAAGGAGAATACAGGCAAGCAAGGTTCCAAGGCACGGGGAAGACGCTCAGCATGCACATGGCAATGAACAGCAGGGAAAGCTGCACCAGGAGCAGAATGAGGGGAAGGTAGCCCTGCATGCCAGACTGGGGTTTCCATCCACTCTTGCCAGTTCTTGACAGCACAATGATAAAACCCACTGGAGGAAACTCGCATCTTAACGATGCAGGTGATTCCCGTGGCCAAGAAAGCAATTTGTTAGAGATGTGGATGATGGGATCGGTGGACAAAGGGCAAGCCAAGGAGAGTGAGCAGCAAGCGGTTTTACCTTCGCTGGATCTCCTCTCGGGCGAGGTCCTGCTTCAGGATGTATTCTTCCCGGAACACCTGCGTGGCTCTGCTCAGAAGCTGAAGGCATTCTTCAGGGGGAGGGGAAGACTCTTTATCTGCTGCTCTGAAGGACAAACACCAGGCACATGTCCTGATTCGCGTGGCAGCCACCCTCTGCAGGGAGTCACGCTTGCTTGCAGATTGCAACACGAACTGCAGCTCCAGCGGGCCAGCATGTGCCCCGTTTGGCCAGCACCTTCCCCAGGACAATTCCCCGTGCAACTGCCTCGTTACACTCGTGCTTCTGCCTGGCCTGCTGCACCAAACCCCTCAAGGCTGCAGACACCCACGTGGCCCCTCGCCAGAGAGAAGCCGTCATTCGCCTAGCTGTCCAATCTGCTCCATCCAGAGGGCCTCAGAGCAGGTGGAAGCACGCAAGTCAGCCCTCTGTGACGCAGGGCCCTGTCAGAATCCAAGCTGCCTCCCTCCCGGCCAAACCTCCAGCATTGCACGAACAGGCGGGCAACTCCTTCTGCCCGGCGACCTTTCCCATCAGCAGTGCCCTCGTCCTTGCCTGAGCTACCGAAAGGAAGCCAAGGTCCTGCCCACAGAATATGCCCACAAACCCAGTGGCTCAGCCAGCGCCGAAAGCAGCTGCTCCACTGCCTGCTGGGCATGGGGGGAGGGGGGCTGCTGGCACGGAAGCGCCAGCAGCCGTGATGCTGAGAGATTTCTGGGCAGCGGCAGCGAAGCTGCGAGAGCGGCCCGGGAAGGTGAAGAACGGCGTCTGGCCTGCCAGACCAGACCTGACAAGGCTGCGGGTCACACGTCCAGTGCGAAGGGCCAGGCCGGGAACAAAGCCCCAGAGAAGGTGGCGCAGCAGATGCGGGCTGCGCAAGGGGAACTCCCTTCCTGGCTGTGCCAGACAACCAACCCTTGCAGGAGGCAGCAAGCGGTGGGGGGGGGCACCTGGTGACGTCTCCACCCGCCCCCTCACACAGGCCACACAGCCCCCAGCTGGAAATAACCGATGTCTCAGCCATCTGCGGACCCCGGGAGAGAGGCGGCACTGTGCTTCCCCCCCATATTAGACTCCCCCCTCAAGAGAGTCCATACTTCAGCAGCAGTGGGTTGGCGGAGCTGCGGCACAGGATGTTTCGGACGTGCCTCTCAAACGAGTCCCGCGATTCAGCCAGGATGCGGAGAGGCGAGGCTGCAATCTGTGACTCCTCCTTGGTGCACAGAAGTGGAGGGCAGGCCGGGTGGACGGTGGAGCTGTCAAAGCAAGCGTCAGGCATCCGTCCGTATTCGGTAAGGACAGCCCCCCACGCCCCTCCCTTTGCTCTTCTTGAGACACCCAGGGTGTCTCTTCCACGGGTGGTCAACAGGTCTTGGCTGAAAAGCCACCGTTTGCGTCACCCTGGACCCCGCCTTCCCCCACTCCTGCGCCGTGTGTTGAGAGCGCAGGCACGGAGCCCTTCCGCACTGCGCTCCTGCTGCCTGGGCGACAGCCAGAGGCGAAGGAGAGAAATACGTTTCGACCCGCCTCGCGCTGCAGGTCACCGTGCCTAGAGGCTCAAGTGCCAGGCAGAACGTTCCAGCGGACGCAGGGCTGGAGGAGAGCTATGGCTGGGGAGATGCAGGTTCTGCTTCCCGGTCGGTCTCGGCACTCGCTGCCTGTTGCTGGGCCAGTCACTCTCGCCCATCGTAACCTGCCTCACAACTCGTTGTGAGAACAGAACAGGAGAGTGGACGTGCCTATGCCAGCCAGAGCTCCCTGGAGGAAGGGCAGGGCAAGCATGCCACGCATGCGCGCGCACCGGCAAGCAGCTCTGGGCTGGGGCACGCAAGGCTCGGGGGCAGCCCGCATCAGCCCTGCTGCCGCCATTTTTCTTCACTGCAGCAGCGGCAGAAGTGCCTCCTGTTGGCGGTGGGGGTGGGGGGTGCATCTCCCTCTGCCTGACATTACCCACCCCTGCTCTCAACTATGGCCCACTTGTATGTTTAGAAGCTTAGACCAGTTGAGACTGTAAAGCAGGGTGAAGCACACATTTCAGTCCAGAATGAATTCAAGCTGGGAGACGTGTGCAAGGACCGTGTGCCACTGGGATGGGGCAGCGGGGGCAAATCAGTCTGATTCCTGCATGAGGAGAGATACTTAACCCTTTCAGAATGAGCAAGAGCTGGACACCAAGGAATGGCCAGGCAGGTGGAGAGGAGAGAGTGGCCCCCCGAGGGATGGGGATCCTCAACAGACCAGATTTGGCCTCAGAGCTGCAGTTCCCCAGGCCTGCCTAAATGCTGATATGCAGAATGAAAACACTCGAAGTAACTCTGCTGCTCTGCATCCCAGAAGCCTGCGACCCAAGGCATGGTGGCCAGTCCAAATCAACCTGTCAAGTCCCTGGAGGGCGATCCCAGAGCCGACATGTAGCTCCGTTTAGGAAGAGGCCAGGCCAGGCCAAGCTTCTCTCTCCCGCTGGTCAAATAGCCAGCTGAGTAGCAAAGGGTTCCAGCACAACTGAACGACTTCTCTGCAAGCTGCACCTGAGATCCCTGCCCGTACACAAAAGACTGAGAGCAGCAGCAGGAGAACTGTATGAGCAGCTTTGAGTTCATTGGAAAAAAGGGAGAATATACTGGTAATCAAATAATCAGCAACATTGTTCTGCAAAAGAGATTAAGGCAGCTTAGCACTTACAGAAGAGGCTTGGTGACACATTCATAGGTGCTGGTGATGCAGACCATTGTTGGGCCCAGGATATCGGAGACGATCCAGAAGCCCTTAATGGAGGCAGGTTGCCTGGGGGAACCAAAAGTGCGGAAGAGCCTGGCTGAAACAAAGACTGGCAAAACTTTGAAAAGACCTTCCTCAGGTTCCTTCTCCTTCTGCCACTAGTAGCGGTGCTTACAAGAAATACTGTCAGAAGGAATGGAGGGACCGGACACCTCGACATTAGTATGGCTTCCTGGCCTTCACTCTGCCCGTTGCCCAATTCCTCCCTTGGCCCCAGATGCCACAAATACTGGAAAAGAAGCCGTCCCAGGGGCTCCCTACTGGAAATGGAGACCTCCACCCTTCCGGTTCAGGCCCTGGTCCCAACACTGGACCAACCGAGTGACACAACTCCAGCTGGAGGCGGAACAAAGACCTCAGAAGCCTCTGGTCAGCTGGAAGCAAGCTGGAGCCTGGACTCTCGCCAGAGGAAAGCAGAGGCGCCCGGTTGGGTGCCCCCCACACGCCGCTACAGAGGGGCTCCTCTGCCGAGCCCAGCCCGTGGCCCAGGCTCCCCCTTGGGGTCAGGGCCACTCCAATTGAAAGCGCTGGGAACGTTCCCCGAAGAGCCGTTCCGCAGGGAATGCGCCGCAGCCGGGACTGTCGCAGCTGAGGAGGGAGCGCGCCTCTTGGACCAGGTCCAAGCCCCATTCTCAGCACCGCCTCTTTCTTCGGCAGCCAGCCAGCAGCTTCACTCACACCGCAAAAAGGAGAGAGGCACGAAACCCCCGCCCCAAACCTGGTCTCTGTTCACCAAGCCCCACCGCAAAAAGCAGAAGCACAACCAACAACCGGAACTTGTCCACTCTCATTGGCTCACGACTGGCTGCGACTGTTCCCAAAGGACCAGCCACGTGGAAAGCAGCCACGTGTCTGGGAGGAGGCAGGCTCTACCTGCACGGCAGGGGCTTGGTGCAGAGGATGTGCTCCACAAAGCATTTCTGTTCCGCTCCGAGCTCCTGCAAACTGTCCTTGTCTTCTTCATCTAAAAAAGCAAGCAGGCGATTCAGACAAGGGGTGAAGCCGTGGGCATAAGAAAGTGTGATGGGGCCCTGAATGTCCACTCGTTCGTGTTTTGTTGTGTTTCGAGGCCTTGTGGTACCTCGGTTGAGGCTATAATGTAACTGATAAGGCCGCACGCCTAGATTCGTTAATCTAGACTTAACACATCCTGAGCCGGCCAAACTCCCTGCAGGAGGCCATCTTGCGAGAGGAAGGTGAAGGCAAAGGAAGAGCGGGAGGCTGAGCAGGCTCAAGCAGCGGCAACCGCCTTGGGTGCGTCTCATGGCAAGAGGGTTCCAGGTGTTCAGAATGTCCAGGGGGAAAGTTACCTTTGTTTCCGCTGGACAGGCAGGCCAACCAATTTGCTTGGCTGTGCAAAGGCCCACGAAGAACACGGCGGGCCAGGAAACTTCCAAAGCCCGAGGAGAGCTTTGGAGAGCTCCGGATGTTGCCAGCACTGAGCTGCTCAGAGCTGAGAAATAGGACCTGAATCCAGAGCGCTGGCCGGGAGAGCAGGAGGCTGGGCTGCGAGTTCATGGTCAGGCGGTCAGGCAGAGGCCTGACCAGAGGGAGCTTCAGGGAAGGATCCCTGATCCAATCCCAGAAGCTGGGAAGAGCATGAGGGGCCAAAGACCAGCTGGGTGGCGTTTCAGGGCAGCCACTGAGGGAAGAGCCTCTTGCTAGGGTGTTGTCCAACGATATTTAACTGTGGTGCATTTAAGCTTTCCCTTTCTAAAAGTGGAATAACACTTGCTTCCCCTTGCACAGATAAGCTGCTTCATAAGCAACCTGTTCCACAGTTCACGCGGCTTCTCAAGCCAGGGCCTGTCCCGTGCGCCTGCCTCCCGTATCAGTCTGCTGTGGGGGGGCTGAAGGGCGCTGTGGCAGTGGAAAAGGGCCAACTGGTGGGACAGGCAGGGACTTCCCTCAGACCCAAAACGAGAACATTTCTGAAAACAAGCAACAACATCTAAAACCGTTTTAAAGAGAAGAAGAGTGGGGCCAGAGTGCAGTCGTCTTCCCCACGGGGAATCACTCCCACGCCCCATAAAGCAGCGGCAGGGAAGCTTTTTCCTCTCCAGAGCTGCGTTCTTATGGGCCAGGAGTGGGCCGCGCACAGCACCCTGCCCTTGCCGGGGAGGGACAGATTTCTCTTGCTGGAGGCCAACCCAGAGACCCCGAAGGGGAGCAAAGCAAGTTGCTCACCACTGCCCTAAAGGATTGGGGCCATGTACCTTCCTGTGGGGAGGAGCTGCTGCTGCTGCGCCTGCTAAGTACTAAGCAACTGTGGCTACGGTGCCTTTGGTGGCCTTGGGTGAAGTGCCCAGAACTCAAGCCATCAGTCCAGTTTCCTGCAGGCTGTGGGACCATCTCTGCATCTTGGATGACAGGAAGCACTTCCTGACGGTGAGGACCCTGAGGGTGTGGAACGGGCTTCCACGGGAGGTGGCTGAGGCCCCACCGGGGAGGGTGTTCAAGGACAGGCTGGACACGCACATGGTGGGCATGTCGTGAGCGGAGCCAGGGGTCAGACCAGATGGCCCGGGGACCCCTTCCAACTCGCGCTGTTTCTGTGTTTCTATCTCTTGCACAGCACTGGAGACCCAGGGAACTCCCAGCGGCCAGTAAGGCCTCTGAACTAGTCTACCTGTGGATGCCAGTTCGGCACAGCCCAGGGCTGCATGGTGCTGCGCAGAAAGCATCGGGCGACTCATCAGAACAAGGAAAAGGCACGGAGGGTGTCCCTCCCCCGCCCCACTTCTCCTTGCTGGTGTCAACGTCAAAAGAGAGGGGGAAGCCTCCCCACGGAAGGAGGCCCGGGCCAGTCTGTGAACAGCTGGAGCCAAGAGCCCCCGTCACGCCCCTGCTGCCTCAGCTCACGCGCTCCCTCCTCCTGCCCAACTCCCGCCTCCTCTCCCGGTCCAGGAATGAGCAACTGCAGCCCGCAGTTGGCAGGGCAGCGGGGGCTTTCAGTGCGGAGACAAACTGGCTTGCAAGATTCACACGTCACGACAAACGGCATCTTTCTGTACATGCCACGCCGAGGCAAGTGCTCCAAGTCCCCTCTTCACTCACCTGAGCCCAGGAACTTGTGAAGCTTGCTGATCCAGGGGAGCCCGATGCAGTGCACTCCAGCGTCATGCGTGCAGTGATAGCGAGAGGCGCATTTGGGATCTGGAGAGGCAAGCAAGAGGCCTGGGCGTCAGGGGGCGGTCGGACAGGCTCAGCACGACTCCCGTGCTCACAGCGAGTGGCGGTGGAGCTGCTGCCTGAGAACCGGCAGGGGCTCAGGAACAGCTGGCCTGACGGGGCTTCCACCCCACCGTCATGATCATCCTTGGAAACTCTTCTCTCGGTGCCACTGCCCACAGCAGTGGCATGGGTGGCTGAAGGGGAAAGAGCCGTCTCCGACCTTCTAACACGGGGTGCAGGCGGCAGAGGAATGTACTCGGAGGGGAAATGGCCGGCTAGATTTGCTCCATGCCGAGTGTCTGTACATTTTCAACTGAGTTTTTCTTGGCCGGCTACCCCGCACACGTAACTGCCCAGAGCAAAACATCCTGAGTGAACGGCTCCTCCCACCTCTGAAGGTCCCTTTTAGCTTCCATTAAGAGAATCTCCTCCTCCGTTTTTGTCCCATCTCCAGCGAGAAAACGAGGCCCTTGGGACTCTCTCAAGCTCACAAGAAACGGGCCGTTTCTTCTTCCTGGACTGGAATGGTTTAGTCAGGGCAGGGTGGGACAGCAGGCATTACTTAGTGTTACTCACTCAGGGGGCCCTTCGGGGGCTCAGCGGCAGTAGCGAGAGGGAGACAGACCTGCCGCTGTCCCGTGCGCAGCCTGGAGCTGTGCTGAGCAGTGGTGCTTGTGGGCCGCTGAGCCGCAAGGCAGCGCAGCACAATGGTGCCTACAGGGGCAAGCAAACAGCCTGTGGGACCTGCTGTCTGCCCAGCACCTTGGCACGTCAGAGCTCAGTATGCACCTACAAGGAGCTTTTCATCAAATGCCAAGCCGTCAAAGCGCAGCAGGGCGAGGAGGTAGCCGCTGGGGTTCCTTGTTGCTGCTCGCGAAGTCGCGTCCGACCCACCGCGACCCCACGGACAACATCCCTCCAGGCCTTCCTGTCCTCCACCAGCCCCCAGAGTCCGCCTAAGCTCACGTTGTGCTCCTACCTCTGTGCAATTTAATTGGGCAGGAAAAGTCCGACTCCAGTGGCTCCTCCCCTTCTCTTGATGCCAACTTCAGCGCAAGCTCCAGTTCCACACATTCAAACACGTAGAGCGATGGGATGAGGTCAGTCCTTGAATCCCAGGACTTGACGGACTGCAGGGAGCGTTTGCAGAAGCCTGTTAGCACTTCTCAAGTCACGATCCCCTGGGGTGCCGCAAAGGGCTACATTCACGTAGGAAGCACATCAGAGCCTGTCACCTGCCTCATTTCAAAAGCCTCTGGCAGGGCCATGAGGCTTCAACCGACTTTAACCATGGTTAGTGGGAACAAGTGGTTAAGAACGTGGTTCTGGGACTCAGGCAACCTGGGTTCTAGTCCCCACTTGGCCGTGGCGCCAACTGGGTGACTTTAGGCCAGGCACACATTCTCAGCCCTCCCTACCTCACAGGGTTGTTGTTATGGGGATAAGGTTGAAAACAGGATAAGCTTGTGAGCAGAATTATGCAGGCTGCTTCATTGTAAGAAAAAGTGGGACATAATAAATATTTATGAAAGCAGAGCTTTAAATAGATAAACAGACACTGGGAACAGATCAGACACTGCAAAACATATGCTTGCTCTGGGGAGAATTGAACAGAGCGACATGGTCGCTCCAGAGTGCCAGCTATACAGCAACACTACACGGCCGTGTGGTCAAGTCAGGGCACAATCCCACGGGCAGCAGACACTGGCCGGCTGGAGGAGAGGAGATCCCCGCCACAGCTGCGGAAAAGCCACCCAAGGCCACAGCAGGGCTTCCATCTGCAGTGGGCCCTCCCTGTGCCCTCATCCCTCGGGAGAGGCAGCTCCAGAAAGACAAGGCCCCAAAGGGGCATCTGAGGAGGCAGCCAGGGAGGAGCAAGGCGCTGCCATCCTGGAAGGAATCCAGCACTGGTTCCTCGCAAGGAAGAGGAAACAGCTGGATGCCTTGCGAGGTCAGAGGGGCACCAGCAGCCGCGTAGCGTGCAAGCGATCCAGTAAGGGGAGAAGAGAAGAATGCCAGGAGGCAACAACAAGCTTGGGGGAAGAGACCCTGGAAAGGTACGAGAACGTGTGAAGCCACTTCCTGTGCAGTCCGGCTGCAGGTCCATGTAGCCCAGCTTGGCCTATCCCACCAGCTGCAGAACTTCTCCATGCGTGGGATCCTGTCTCAGACGGGCCGACTGCGACAAGCGTACGTACCATCTGCTCGTCGTCCTCTTCGCCCTCGAGCACCACACAGTGGTACAGCATCCCCGATTCGGTGGCAATCACCAAGGTGTTGGGCACGCAAGGCAGGCAGAGAATGGCGCAGGCATCGTACCCATAGTTGTCTTCAGCCGCTGGGTACATTGGCAACGGGCCCAGTAGCTTGCCAAGGTTTCCAGCACTAGGGAAAACCAAAGGTACTTACCTGGGAGTGATGTTAAGAGCCCAGAGGTCTGTACAAGTTTTCCCATCACCACAAGCCCCAAGCATGTCAAGGCTAGTGAACCAGAATGGCTATAGGGCAGGAGGGTCCAACCGTTTGGTTTCTCTGGGCCACATTGGAAGAAGAATTGTCTTGGGCCGCACATTAAATACACAAACACTAACGAAAACTGGTGAGCAAAAAAAAAAGGTCTGTGCATAACATTTGTGACATCTGTCACAACAGATAAGCAAAAAAGTCCTCACATAATAATCCTAAGAGAGTATACCTATGTTTATCTTATGTGACATTGTAACACTACGTTGTCGTCTACAAAGTTCATGCTCAAGAACCACACAATCGAGTTACAAAAAAAAATCTCAAATGTTTTAAGGAAGTTTACGATTTTGTGTTGAGCCGCATCCATAGCCCTCCTGGGCTGCATGCAGCCCATGGGCTGCGGGTTGGACACCCCTGGGTTAGGGCATAATCCTTTGTATATTTCAACAGAAAAATATCCTACAACTCCCAGTGTGCCCAAGCCAATATGGCTAGTTGGGGCAAGCTGGGAATTACAGGACCTTTTTTGCCGAAGCATGCACAGAATTGCACCTTCTGGCCGTTCCTTGCTCCTGACGTTCCAGGAGTCGTGGTCCAACCCCCCTGAAGGGCAGGTGAGAAGCCTACCTTGTTCTGACTTGTTTTCTTTCTATGGCAAGTGTTCTTGCAACAGTCCTGGGCGCGAATATTTGTATTTGATATAGACAGTATTATGGGAGAAGGGCTTTGTAGCTAAGACCATGCAAGCCAACCGAGAGGCCAAATTAATTTTGTCTGATTGCTCAGACCCAGGGTGAAAAAAACCTCAAAATTCTCATGGTCTAATCAATGTTGCAAGAAGTCAAGCAGACTGCTATTTTAAAAGAACTGACTGCCTAAATGAGGCCTGCAGAAGCTCAGGTCTGGGATCAAAGCCACCCCAGGGGTTCCATGATGGCTCTCCAGGTTCCCTGGATGCCTGTTCGGTGTTCTGTGCAGTTCCTCCACCTCCAAGACCACCACAACCACACTGCGACTGCCCCAATTCTAAAAGGCTGAAATGTGTCTCCACTGGCTTGTGTGACTGCCAGGAAGAGCTTTAAATTGATATAGGCTGGAGATTTTGGGTGGTTTGGCTCCACCTCCTTGGCTTTGGCTCCACACACCAGTGGAATGCGCCCCAAGAGCTTCTCTGAAACAGAATTCAGCCCTTGGCTGAAAGAGGTTTAACACTCTGAGCTTAAATCCTGGACTTCTATCCCGATTTGAACTATGGAGAATTATTTGCTTTCCAAAGCAGTACCCTTCTAACCACCAGCCTCTGAAGTATCTAACCAAGCACTGCCTAACACCACAACAGAAACAGCAAGGGGACCGCCGATCTGGCAGGGGTCTTTACCTGTGCAGGAGACTAATGTAGGTCAGGAAGGTCTCCCCATTTTCATACAGGATGTACAGAGGATACGCTAGCACCTCCCCTTTCTCTTGCTGCCCCGCTATGTTCTTGGGGACCACTGCCAGCGGTCCAAAGTCAAACGCCACAGCAGTCTCTCCCATCAGGGCTGTATAGGCTCTCCTGAGGGAGGGAAGAGGCCAAGTAATTCAGTCTTTGGGTGCACATGCAGTTTCTCCAACCAGGATGCAATGGCAGAGGCCTGCTTCTAGGGGAGGTGAAGAGGGCTGTCCTAGAACTTACCCTTTATTGAGCCTCAGAGTCTCCTCGTCAGCATCTGAGAGAGCAATCACTTTCACGGGAGTCTGCGGAGAACTCAAGCTGTAAATCCTAACAGGGAAAACATGATTTCTTAAAAAGCACACTCTGCATAATAGAGCATCTGCAGGTACACACCTCAACACACCGGAGCAAGAATGTTACCTTATGGTGTTATCAGATGTTAGCAGCACGACATGGGGTTCCAGAGTCTCACTGGGGTACCAGGTGGCATGTTTCAGGGTCAGGGATGTCGAACTGGTGAAGAATCTTTCAGCGATAGGTGTGGTGCTGGAAGACAGGTTTACAAAGTAAAAGGTATGGGGTTTCTGTCACAAAGGGGGCTGCTGGGCCCTGTCCCTGCAGCCGGGCAAGCAGGCAAGAAATGCCTGTGCTGCAAGAAGTTTGCCAATTAGTGGAGATCAAGCTGCTCTCAGAGGGGCAGGAGCAGGCCAGGCTGTTTTGCTTCCTGATCTACCAACATCACTATCAAAAAACGAAACTGCTGTGAGTAGTCCGGCTCAGCTTGACCCTCCCTCCCTTGCTTCCCTGATGGCTGGAACTGCCCCACTTTCTAAGGCCCTCTTCCTTCGCATTTTTCTTCAAAAGCCACTTTTTCGTGAAGCCTCTGCAACATCCCCTAGGCCCCATAGCTAGGTCTAATACATAGGACAGTTCGGGATCCATCTTGCAACTGTTCTTTTGACTTCTTCTTTGCTTGGCCCTCACATAGGAAACAAACCAAACCTAGAGGAAGTCTGCAAATGGGCCCAGCCCTGCGCTAAAGAGTGGGATTTACAAAACTGAAACCATTATTTGACAGAAACTGCCTGAGACCATCAGTGAAAAGATGGCTGTCCGAAGGGACCAAAACACTGGCAGATAAGCATTTTGTGGTTGTAATGGCCTTCCTGACCAAAAGAGGGCAAATGAAGCAGCAGCTACCCCCAGTTCAAAAGACCGTGACTGAAGATGGAAAATAGAAGTCCTACATACCTGCAATTAACCGTGGGCTTCCCCCCTTCGAACTCAGAGTTTTTCCCCCAGCGCTTAGGTAACTCCAGTACCATCAGGCCTTTGGTCCCGATGAGAGCCACATGTTGCTGTGTAGGGCTCAGCACAGTTTGATACACTTCAAAAAAAGGGGCATTTATGCAGAGCAGGGTCTAGAAATCAAGGTGAACATGAGTTAATATTTCCTCTGGCTACAGAAAACATCACTGTCAAATCAATTCCATAGCAAACACATTACTTGCCGCTGAATGCTCAAGACAAAAGGCTCTGGCCAAAACACTAACTCTCAGCCAAATCTATTTTACTGCTTTGTGGTGAGGATGAAATAGAAAGGGGGGGGGGGAGGGCGGGGAAATCTTGTAAGCCATACTTCCCCAACCTGGTGCCCTCCTATCACTCCCCAGCACTATAACTTTTAGCTATGCTGGCTGGGAATGATGGGAGGTACAGTCTAACAGAAGGCACTGCCCTGTGGGAAGGCTGAATTGTAAGCCACACTGGATTCCTTACAAAAGGAAAAAGGCAGGATTTAAAAGCAGTGATAAATTTAAAACCACTAATTAAAAATAAAATAGATCTATTAAAAGCAGGGAACAGAGGAATAAAGAAAAGTCACTATCTGACAACAATCTTAAGAGCCACACCATCATGAAAAACATATGGAAAATCGCTCTTTGACGGATGCTGAGAAACATTCCTGAAGTGACTTCAGGAAGCCCAGCTTTCTTTCACATGTATTACCTGCAACCTCCATACCAATCCAGACACAATGCTAGCACAACAAACCTTTCTACTTGTGCAGTAAATCTGACTGCTCCACAAAGATTTCCTGTATGTAGAAAGCTAACACATCAAGGACAAGACTAGCTTAGTATCCCTATCCCCGAAATCCTAGTCTTTAGAACCCAAAGGACTCATGTTAACTTTCCTCCTGCAACAGAGCAGCAAACACCATTTCCAGGAGAAAGTTTAGGTTGGAATCCTTCTCTCAGCATTCTAATCAACTGCATTCTGATCTGTATGCATGCATCATGCAACATTGCTCTAAACTAAAACTATTTTAGACCTCTCTCAGGGACCGAACTCTCTCAGGAAGCAAGTGGCACATCCAGACCAGAAGCACTTTCCCTGGCATGCAAATTTTCTGGCTGCAAGGAATGAGGACAGCAACAATGTTTATCCAGAAGAGCATCCCATGGTGAGCCACAACCTGAAGCAGCAGCCTTACCCCACTGTCTGCCTGGTTTTCGGAGTACAGTCTCCCATCATCCCCAAGCACTGACTATACTCGCTGGGTTGATGAAACTTGCAGCCCCCAAACAGGTGGGTGGATGGTTGTGGCTTCATGTCGTGAGATGCCCTGCTAGAGAAGCATCATCACTGGAGGACCATCAGAAGAACTAGCTGCTTAGGAGTAGCACGTGGCCACGAGGACTAGTAGCCCGAGAGCCTCCTCCCCCATGAACTGGCCCGATCCCCTTTTATCGTCCTCCACATTAATGGCCATCCCTCCATCGGCTGGCAGGGCATCGCACTGTGCACTGCGCAAGTCAGTCCTTCCTTTCTGCCTTGCAACATGGGGGCAGGCGTGGGGGAGCCCCGGGAGGATGGGAGGAGAGGGCCTCCTGCAACGCCATCTGCGCCCCTCTCCCTTACTCCGCGCGGCTAGAAAGCCGGCAGCCGGGAGAGGCTGGGCCTGCCGCTCGCTCCTTGATCGCCTCAGGGCTGCTCGGGGGCCGTTCTGCGCTGAGCCCGGCCTAGCCCCTCCGTCCGGCTGCGGGATCGCACCTGGTAGCGGCCCAGGCTGCCGGGCTCGTCGCCGAGGCCCCTCAGGCCGAGCACGTAGAAGGCGGCGCGCTCGCCATCCCATAGAAAGAGCTCCGCGCCGACGCCGAGCAGCAGGTCCCGCGGCAGTGCCGGCCGGGGCTGCTCCGGCCCGGGCGCCGGCGCGGCGGCCTGCTCCCTCAGGCGGCACAGCACGGCGTGCTGCGGCAGCTCCGCCCACCAGCGCTCGCTCAGGCCCGGAGCCGCCACAGCCGCTGCCGCCATCGCCTCTTCGGCGGCCGCGAGGGAAAGAGAGCCGTCACCGCTGAAGCGGAGCAGGCCCTGCCTCTCCGGAGCTCCGCACTACAAGTCCCAGGATGCAGCGCGCCTCCCGGTCTCGCCCGCTCCCTTCCACAAACATAGACTTATAAATTAGATAAAAAGCCACTAGGAAGCGTTGGAGTGCCCATAACACCCCCCTTTTTTTTTTTTGCCCCAGCAGGGCAGGGACTTGGGCGCGTGCTGAGTGTGAACCTGCTTTGGGGGTTTTTTGAGTGTCTTTAGCTGTTGTTTCCTATTGAAACGAGGCCTATTTTGTTAATGATGGAAAACGGTAGGATCACGTCTAGAAAAAGCACGAGCTCTTCTCTCCGCTGAGTCCAGCTTTTTGGGGAAAAACGTCCAAGCGTCTTTTGCATTAAAATCTCTCACTTCTGCTTTGGCCCATATGAGCAGCTTCTGCTGTCATCCCGCTGGCGAGTTTCTTTCTTAGCGTCTCTAATGAGATGGTCCTCTTCACGCTCTGCTTCAGCTTTCCGGAAGTGCGCACCCTCGTGTCCCTCCAAGCGGGTGAGTGTCTCTGAGAGCACCTCGGAAGGGAGGGGCAGGGCGGACGGGGGGGAGTTTGAAAGTGGCGGGAAAAGTGGGGTTCGCGCTGGTGTCGCCGCGGCGTCCCGAGGTCGCGAGTTTGGATCCTCCCAGGAAGGGAAGAGCCCCGAGGCCAGGTGAGGGGCGTCCGGCGGTATTATCTCCGCTGTTCCCTAGCCAGGGAGAGGAGGGAGGGCCTCGAAAAGGGGGTTCCTCGGCGCTCCTGCCGTTCCCTCCTCCCCAAATGCTAATAGGATGTGGGAAATAAAGATGGGCCCCTGCCCGCCAGGCCTGAGGCCCTCCCTCCTGATATGGGGCGGAAGGCCCCTCTCCCCTTTCCTCCTCAGCGCAGCCTTGGAGTCATTTGCAAACGCACTCAGTGAAATTCGGTTTTAAAAAAGCAGGTGCTGGGCCTCTAAGGCAACCAAGATCAGGGAAATGGTGTCGATAACCCCGTGGCTGGTTAGACCGGGAAAGCTTCCTGTGGGGGAGAAAGGCCTTTCCAGGAGGCCCTGAAACAATGCGGTGTTGGCCCCGGCCTGGCTTCCCGAGCACCATTTCCCAGAAGGGGCCAGCACAGTGAAGACCCTTCTCCAGGTGGGCCCTGCATGCTGCCGGGAGCATGAGATTGCCCAGTCTCCTTCCCAGTGGCAGGAAGACCGAATCGCCTTGGACCCCAGCGGCTGCATTGGCGAGATCACCCAGGCCCCCTGCAGTGACTTGCGACAGCAGATACCGGGCCGTGGTCTCCACCACCAGCTGCAAAATCACAGCCCAGGAACTGACATTTCTATAACCTTCCAATCATGCACAGGGTTCTGTAGTCAGGACCCCGAGGGTGTGGAATGGGCTTCCACGGGAGGTGGTTGAGGCCCCATCGGTGCGGGTGTTCAAGGATAGGCTGGACATGCACATGGTGGGCATGTCATGAGCGGAGCCGGCTGGAGGCGGGGGTCAGACCAGATGGCCTGGGAGCCCCCTTCTGACTCGCTCTGTTTCTATGTTTCTACAGAGTGTTAGGTTTCCAGATAACGTTAACATAATAGCATCTTGATGTTTTCATACGCAAAGCAATACTCTAAACTGATCAGAAATGCCCTGGACAATAGAATAGAAAATTTCCCTGATTGAGCCTTATTGACAAGTCAGTTCAGTGAATTCCTGGCAGTTTGGACCAGCCTCTGTGTCTGCTTAAACATGCAAATGTGTCTGATTGAGGATCCATCCAGGAAAACTGGGTTGACAACTACCCTGCCTCTGTTGAACTAGATGATTAAATGGGTCCATTCAGAAACAAATGGACACCTTTGTCTCAGCTCCCTGCAGCTGATGGGAATGCTGGTATTTCCCCACTGATAGTGTTAGCCTCCAGCAGCTTCACAGTCCAGCTAAGGATTCCATCTCCTTACAGTAACAGCAATGCTAAACAGTAACCAGGCTTGGAATTCTGCTGCTTTCTGAGAAAGGGATGCGGTTTGTCTTTATAACAATGAGGCACATATAAACATTTTGCCCCATAAATGCGTTTTCAAAAAATGCAGGCCTCTGGAACAAACACTACTTTTTCAGAAGAAGCTTCAGAAGAAGCTTTCAAAATGTAGACCTGTGAAGCTTTCAAGATGCACAACACACCTTGGGTCAAGGGGATGCAGGTGAGGGGGGAGGGAGAACCAAAGTCTCTGAGCATGTCAAGACTGTTTACCCAGTGGAAACTAGAAAAGCCATCCATATTTCTGTGCTTTTGTCCACAGGACAGCATAACTTTTCAGTCTTCTCTGTTCCCTCGCTGGAGTATCATGTTGCCATTCTGTTTGCTATGCACATGAAACGTTGCCAGTTGCGTGTCATCCCAACAGCTGGGCCAAGAGTGTAGTGTGTGCTGTTTTTTCCTGTCTTCTACCACCACAGCAGATCTCTCCTCAACATGTCCATAAATCCAATGATCTACGAAACCCAGTTCTTTGGGTTTACACCTCAAACATTGATTTTGCGGATATATACTGCCTTTCAAGATCATCTTTCCCACATCATACTGGTAGCAGAAGCAGCTATTCTGAATAAATTGAACAACAGCCGTTCTCATAGCACGCCTTCCCTAATCCGGAGGGGTACAGAGCAATTCTTTTCTTTCATGAAACAGCGTTTCGACAGCTTGTTTGGCAAAATGGAAGATATGCTTCTGAACATGGTGCTGACCATTCCCAAGAATGTTTTGCTCCCGGAAGACGAAGCCCAAGAGAAGTTTTGCTATACTGCAGAGCAGTTTCAGGAACTGCAGATGGAGATCAACCAGCTAGAAAAAAAGCTGAAGGCTGAAACATATGCAGAACAGGCTCTTCAGGCAGAACTGGAGGAGCAAAAGGTTGTCCAGGCACACCTGGAAGGAATTCTCCAGTGGTTTGACAATCTTGACAACATCGGAAGAGAAGAAGGGACCAACAGCATGAAAGAAAGCTTTGCTGCCTTGATGAAAACAGCTGTCAAACTGCAGGACATTGTTTTGGAGGTAGATGAGAAGATGAAGAAGCTGGAAAGGCAGTGATGATGTACAAACAGGAAAATAGAAATGCACTATTTCATTAATCCCATTTTTCTCCTTTCAAAGTAAATTACTTTGTTCTCAGTAGGTCAAAGTATTCATGGTCATCTTATACATTTGTATGTAAATGCATTTTGTGTTTTCAAAATGTTTAATCTTTGTAAACAGGCCCCCAGAGCTTTGGCTTTTGGGTGGCATCAACACATAATTAGAACTCACAGCCCACTCTGAGTGGGCTTGTTTTGAACTATTTTGTAGTAGTGCTTCAATATGAGAAAGCCCTTTTTATGCTCAGGCTGATTGAACAAATCACACTGCCTCTCTTTCAGGTACACAGCAGGATGTACATCAAAATAACATTAGAACCGCTCATAAAATAAAAACCCACAAGAAGAATAAATAGGCAATAAAAATTGAGAACCTAAATGAGGGACAGGACAACTCAAGTCCCTCCATATATTTTGACCTCTGAAGCTGATGGGTGGGACATTTAGGACAGATAAAAGGAAGTACTCCACAGCGTAAACAATGGATTTTGCTGTCACGGTGATGAACTCCAATCTGGATGGCTTTAAAAAAACATGTGACTGCTACTACCTTTGCTGGCTCTATGCTACCTCCTTTACCAGAGGTGGCATGTCCATATACCCTAGTTGCTGAGGAGCCTGGGCAGCCGGAGGTCTTGCACCCATCCCCCCTTTTTTTTTTTTGAATAAATTTTATTATTTTCTCTACAAACTAATATTAAAAAAAATCAATCATTTAAGACATCGGACATACTGGGTTAACATCTTGCTCTTTTAAACATCTTGCTGTTTAAGTCTATAAGCATATTCAAATCTATGCACAGTTTCTCTAGTCAATAATAAAAGTTAGAAATAAGGAAATTGATAGAAATATGCATCCTCCTCCTCCTTCAGAGACAAGGTCAGTCTGTCCATTTCTGCACAATCCAAAATCTTTTTTAAGATCAGTTCTTCAATAGGTGGCTCTTCACTCCTCCAATATTGAGCAAATACAATCCTCGCTGCAGTAATTACACATAGAATCAGGTATCTAGCTTGTTTACCAAAGTCATAAGAAATAATGCCTAATAGAAACTTCAGGTTTAAATGTTAAAGGTTTTTGTAACATTTCCTCAAGCCATTTATGTATTTTAATCCAGTATTTTTTTGCCTTATCACAAGTCCACCACATAAGATAAAAAGTACCAGGTTTATGTTTACATTTCCAACATCCATTTGACATATTTGGGAACATTTTTGCTAGTCTATTTGCTAGTCTATACATACCATCTATAAAACATTTTATAAAGGTTTTCTTTATATGAAGTTGCTAAGGTTACCTTAATATTTCTTTCCCACAGCTTTTGCCATTTCTGTAACTCAATATTGTATCCAAAATTTTGTGCCCATGTTATCATTTCCTTAACTTGTTCATCTTCCATTCTCATGTCCAAAAGAAAGTTATACAATCTTTCAATCATTTTTTCCATCTGATTTTAAAATCATTTGATCAAATGTTGTTAATTCCTTATAAAATCCATACATTTTATAGTCTTTAACTCGATTGTATTTGAATCTTGTGCCACCAAGAAATATCAATACCCTCCTCCTGTAGTTCTTGATTCGGTTTCAATTTTCCATCATTATCCAAAATATATCTCACAATCATATTAAAATTCAATGCATTTGGATATACAAGAGCTTCCATAGGAGAAAGCCATCTCGGCAACTTAGTATATAGCTTTGACTTTAGTTTTTCCCAAACCGACATTAATGACTTTCTAATAAAATGATTTAAGAAACAACCATGTGTCTTACACTTCTCATGCCATCTCATTTGTAAATCATGCCCTTCAAGATACAGGATTCTCTTATTTCTTAAAGTTGTTCATTCTTTTAACCACATTAAGACACAAGCTTGATAATACAGCATTCAATCAGGAAGGCCAAAACCCCCATTCCCTTTTGGCCTCCTGGAGCATTTTTTAATTTAATCCTTGGTTTCTTCTTTTGCCATATAAATCTCAAAATTTGGGTGTTTAAATCATCAAAAAAGTTTTTATCAATTTTTATGGAAATTTTTTGAAATAAAAATAAGAGCTTTGGTAATATATTCATTTTAACTATTGCTATTCTTCCCAACAGTGATAATTGCAAGTTAGCCCATTTTTCCAGATCGCTTTTAATTTCCTTACATAGTTTAACATAGTTATCTTCTTTCAATGTAGCACATTTAACTGTAGGAAAAATTCCCAAATATTTAACCTTCTTAACAATTTGAAGGTCTGCTTGTTCCGTCAAAGTCGTTTTCTGCTCCAATGTGAGATTTTCCACTAACAATTTTGTCTTTTCTCTATTTTAATCCCGGTAACTTCACCATAGTATTCTATCTTTTTTAAAAGTTTAGGCGTCGTTACCAGTGGATTCTCTAGGATAAATACTAAGTTGTCTGCAAATGCTTGTAGTTTCTAAGTTTCATCTCTAATTCTGACACCTTTAATATCCATGTCTTCTCTAACATTTCTGTTTAAAACTTCTAAGATCAATATAAATAAAAGCAGGTTGCTTACCTGTAACTGATGTTCTTCAAGTGGCCATCTGTGCAGTCACACATATGGGTACTGCGCCTGCGCAGTGCCTGTGGCCGGAAGATTGATAGCTAATGGTTTGGTGGGAAAACTCCGCTCCCCTCCGCCCTAGCAATATATATAGAGCAGAGTGTCTGCCATTTTCCAGTCTTTAATAGACCGGATGTTCGCTCTCTAAAGAACAAAGTGTAACTAAGTAATTAACATTGTCGAACCAACGACAAGAGAAACATACTGACTCGGTACGGAAGGGAAAATAACACGGTACCGAGAAGCACCACCCATTGACACCGAGCGGGGTCGGTGGGTGGGTTATGTGACTGCACAGATGGCCACTCGAAGAACATCAGTTACAGGTAAGCAACCTGCTTTTCTTTGTCGTGGCCTCTGTGCATCACACATATGGGTAGAGTAACAAGCTTACACTGATTGGAGGAGGGAGGTGTCATCATCGAAGAATAGCTGAAAGAACGGCTCTGCCAAAGGAACAGTCTTGTCTAGCCCGGACATCCAGCCGGTAATGTTTTGCAAATGTACATAGAGTGGCCCAAGTGGCCGCCCTGCAGACATCATCAAGTGGAACTCGCGACGCAAAAGCTGAGGAAGCAGCAAGAGCTCTAGTGGAGTGTCCTCTCGGGGTTGTAGGCAAGTCTATCTTAGCCAACTGATAAGAGAGGGTAATGGTGTGTACTACCCATTTGGAGAGTCTCTGAAGGGGTAACAGGAAAACCTTGATTCTGTTCAGAGTACTTAACGAAGAGTCTGTTGGAATCTCGAATAGACTCAGTTCTAGATCTATAAAAGGCCAGGCAGCGCCGGACATCGAGTGTATGTAAAGATCTCTCAATCGGATTTGACAATGATGGAAAAAAGGCAGGTAGAACAATGTCTTGACCCATATGAAAGGGAGTAGCCACTTTCGGAAGAAAGGATGAATCCATTCGCAGAACTACTTTTTCCCTATGAAAATTCAGGTACGGAGGGTCTGCCCTGAGGGTGCAGAGCTCGCTAGCTCTCCGAGCTGATGTAACTGCTACAAGGAATGCTGTTTTCCAAGAAAGAAGACATAAATCAATTGTTGCCAAAGGTTCAAAGGGAGCCCTTGTAAGACCACTGAAAGACTCCATGTAGGCATAACTGGTCTGACGGATGAAGGTTATGGAGTCCTCTAAGGAATCTCTTTATCAATGGTTGAGAGAAGATGGAGAAACCTTGAATTGTACCACGGTAATATGAAATTGCTGCCGTGTACACTTTAATGGATGATGGCTTCAGCCCGGAATGGTAAAGTTCTAGGAGAAACTGCAGAATGTGGTCGATGGATGCTGACTGTGGAAGAAATTACTGTAACTCCGCAAAGACAGAGAATCGTCGCCACTTGGCTGCATATGACTTATGAGTTGATGGCCTTAGCGCAGAATCGAGAATATGATGAATGTCCAGGTGAAAAAGTGTCGGACCCGATGGAACATTTGTTAGATCCGAGGATGTAGATAGTGCCGAAGGATTCGAAGTGTGGAGTGGCATGTCGGTTCCGAAGACGGGATCCATAGTAGGTGTAGACGACATCGGTACCGAGTTAGTATTGGCTGTTATCGAATTCGCCATGCCCCCAACTTCAACGATGTTAAGTTCAGGTGGCGAATTGTGCCCTCTCGCTGAGTTATGAGGTATGGAATGGATGGAAGGTGCAGATATTCTTGGGAGATATGCAGAAGAGTCGAGAACCAAGCTTGGCGCGGCCACCATGGAGTTACTAATAGTCCCATGGCCCTGTCATGGATTATCTTTGATACCACTCTCATAATGAGAATCGGAGAGAAAGTGTAGAAGTTCCTATTGTTCCAGAGGATCATAAAGGCATCCCCTGTCGACCCTTGTCCGATTCCCGCTCTCGAGCAAAACATTTCGCATACCCTGTTCTGTCGGGTAGCGAATAGGTCCATGTCTGGGTGGCCCCAGCGATTGAATAGTTGGTCGCATACTTGACGATCCAGTTCCCACTCGTGAGATGTGGACATGTGCCTGCTCAAAAGATTGGCTTCCACATTGTCCGTACCCGCAAGGTGTACTGCTATCAGGGTAATAGCTCTTGGAATGCACCACTCCCAGATTTGCATCGAGAGCCGTGCTAACGTTGGTGACTTCGTCCCTCCTTGTTTGTTCAGATAAAAGACTGTAGCGATGTTGTCTGAGGTTATCTGAACTACTCGGTCCCAAAGAACGTCCTCAAACGAGCGCAGAGCCTTGAAAACTGCCAGAAGTTCTAGGAAATTGATATGATTCCTGGATTCCTGTTGATTCCATACACCTTGGGTGCATAGGTCGGAACATACTGCTCCCCATCCCAATAGGGATGCATCGGTACCGAGAGTCATCGAAGGGCATCGGGGTCGGAAAGATACCCCCACGTTTAGATTGGCCGGAACCGTCCACCATAGTAGAGAGTGGAGAACAGAAGATGGAATCCGAAGTAATTTCATTGGCAAATCCCTTTGCGGTCGGAACGCTTTGTTGAGGAAAAGCTGGAGAGGACGAAGTCGGAGCCTGGCATGTCAGACAACGGTGACCAACGCAGCCACATGGCCCAAGGGTCTCTGAATGGACCTGGCAGGAACAGTCCTGTCTCGTCGCATTTGATGGATATGTTGAGCAAGAGCTTGCTGTCTGTCCTGCGGGAGGAATACTCTTGCCGTCATGGAATCTAGACGAGCTCCGATGAAAGTGATCATCTGTGTAGGAACAAGAGAAGATTTCTCGGTGTTAATGCAAAGTCCAAGATTTCACAGCAGGGAACAGGTTGTCTGTATCGCAGCAATAAGTCCTTGTCTGGTTTGGGAGACCAGCAACCAATCATCAAGATAAGGGTAAATCTGAACTCCTCGCAGTCGTAGAAAGGCACAGACAGGAGTCTTACACTTTGTAAAAACTCGTGGTGCAGTAGCCAGTCTGAATGGTAACACTGCAAATTCGTACACTTCAGACACAACAGCAAAACATAGGCTTTTCCTTTGTCCAATGAGGCAAACCAGTCCTCTCTCCTTAGCAACGGTAAGATATTTTGAAGGGTGGTCACCCTGAATTTTTGTAGTGTGATGAACTTATTGACATCCCGCAAGTCAAGTATCGGACGAAGACCACCGTCCTGCTTTGGGACTGTAAAATATCTCAAATAGAATCCGTGGAGTCCTTCCGTTCAAGCTAATTGACGAATTGCTCCTTTACGAAGAAGCTGTTAAACTTCGTCATTCAGTACCAGCAAGGATGGAGTAAACTGGATCAGGCTCGATGGAGGAACGATGTCGAATTCTATCCGATATCCATGCTGAATAATGAATAACATCCACCGATCAGATGTGATGGACTCCCAAATGGGGAGTCGGCCTTTCAGCCGGTCCCCAGATGAG